TGCTGCTTTTTCAGCAGCCTCACTAATCTTAGCAGCCTCGTCGGTCTCAAGCTGCTGACGTGCTGCCGCAATCCTAGAAGGTGAAAAGAATTGAGCAGCACGCGAATTCTCTTTATCCACAAGACCTAGAGGCTTTCCACGTTGGCGGCGCTTCTTCTCCTTTCGTAAAGCTTCGTATAGAAGCTTATTTTCATGCTGCAAAATCTCTTTTTCAAAAACTAGTCTTTCACTAGCATGAACGATTTTTCGGAACCCAGTAGAGATTCTTCGCCGTTGATTTAACTTCTTAACTGCCCGTCGCAGTCCTCGTATGGTAGTGGGTGTGACTGGCTCTGCTGTGACTGGAGTGCTTGGTCTAGCAAGCTTGCTAAGCACCCGATCTGGTGAGAGAGGATAAATGCCAGTAGCAGCAAATCCAGACTCTATATTTGACTTCGTGACAGCTTGCTTCCAGGCGTTGTGGAATAATAAAAAGAAGTTGCGTTTTTTAATGGATACACCTCCCATTGCTGAGCGTAAGAATAAATCCACCTGCTGAGAGTATGCCTTTGATAAAGGTCCAAAAATACCAGCATCCAAAGGCTGCAAGCGATGAGTTGAATGAGGCGGCAGTACAGCAAGGATAATACGATTTTGATCAGCGTAGTTGATGAATTTCATATTGACATGAGAAGAATGGCCGTCAAGGATGAGCAGGCGCCAGGCTCCATTCCTAGCCTTTGTATGAGGATTAAAGACCCGTTGCAGCCAATGTAATCCATATTGATCACTGCTCCAGCCGTTCGGGGAGGCAGCAAAAAAGACCTCATGCTCTTTAGAATCAAAATCTTCTAGCCACGTATCTTGCAAATCCCCGGAGTCTGACTGATATATAAGACCTGGCGGCGTTGACCTTCCACTGGCTGATATGGCGGCTAGCAAAGAGATGAATTCTCTACTCCCATCCTGAATCGTGCCTAGCAAGCTCCCGCTCTTAAGCTGCTGTACAGAGACTATTCGCTTGCTGATTTGCATGACGCCCATAAGAAAGCCCTTCTCATCAAGATTCCACGTATTAGATGGTCGAATGTTGAATTTTTTGACCTTTTCGTCTAGCTAAGATGCTCAAGCATTAGCAACCCCTCATTAAATTGCAGGCAATGTAAATAAAAATCAATCAAATACAAGCTGGAAAAAGTGCTGAAAATACTCAGAATTATCAGCTCTCTTGTGTTTTTGATCAATTGCTCATAAATATAGGCTTTTGATGCGATCCTTGTGGTGTTGACAAAATCTAGAGATCCAATGCTCGCCAATCGGCTCCTGAAGGATTTCTTCAACTAGATTTTGAAGAATTCGAGGTGTAGGAGGAAAGCCACGGTCCGTAAGACGATTTATATATCGAATAAGCTCTTCCTCTTGAGAGTTCGTAAGTTTCTGTCTATATAGGGAGTCGGCAGTTTCTCAAGACACTGATTTGCCCGTAACGCGTCGCATAAGTGTAGTTCGATGAATTCCGTATTTTTTTGCAACAGTAGTATAATTGCCAGCCTCTTGCGAAAGGAATTCAGCCACTGCGAGCTCTACAGCTTCTTTGGTTGGCATGTTGTAGATGATTGAAGGTGGAAGGTTGGGTTCAAAAATCGGCTTTTTGGGGCGTGCGTTGTGTGGCGGCGTGCGTTGTGTGGCGGTTTACGTTACCACTAAATGAGCTGTACCACTAAATGAGCCACATTTTTGCGATACACTGCAATTTAATTCAACAACTTCCACTGCTGTGAGATGTCAAACAAAGAAGCTATTCAACTTGCAATTAAGGATTTAAGAGCTCAAAAGATCAAAAATTATGCTGCAATTGCTAGGAAGCACTCAATCAATAAAGAAACACTGTGTCATCATTATAATGACTTGCCACTTGCACAGGATAAACCAGTCTCTTAACATAAGAAGAAGCTCTCAAATCAGCAAGAACAAATGCTTTTGCTTCATATAGAGAAGCTTGCAGCTCACAGCTTTGCTCCTACACCTCAAATCATTCAAAATCTCATTGTGGAAATCATCAAAGAATCTGTTGAAATCCATTGAATGAGATACTTTACTAAATACTATAAGACTTAAATTTAAAGAATTTATGTCCATGGCATTGATTAAAAACATAAAATAGCAGATAATTCTACTCATTTTGAGCATTACTTCCAGCTAGTATTTTGATCTTTTGCTTATTTTCTTGCACTAAGTTCTCTATAGACTCTTGCTAATTATTTTGCTATATGACTATATAGTTGAATGAGAAGATTGAAAAATACAATATTGAGTTATCAAATATCTACAATTTTGATAAAAAGAGCTTCTTAATTAACATCAGTCAGACTACTAAGTGGATTGTTCCAGTTAAAGCTCTGAAGATAAAGTAAATTACTGCAGTTCAAGATGATAGCTATAAATTCATCTCTCTACTCACAGCAATATGTGCAAATGAAACAGCTCTTTCACTTATTTTTATTTATCAAGAAGAGTCTCATGATATGTTAAATATATGACTAGAGAATCTGAATAAGAATAATATAGCTTATTTTACAATTTTTGAAAAAGATTGAAATAATGATAACTATAAGCTTAACTGAGTGAAGTGAATTTTTGATAAGCACATCAAGACTAAAGCAGACTGCAAAAAATGTCTTCTTATTCTAGATGAATACTTTTCTCATGTCAATATGAAATTTATTGATTTTGCAGATTAAAATTGAATTTTTCTTGTAGTACTATCTTCACATTCAACTTACTGACTGCAATTTTTAAATATTGACATCTTTAGTTCTTTAGCAGAAGCATATTTTCATAATGTCAATAATCTTCTTTGCAGTGAATTTGAATTTATTTGAATGATAAAAAGAAGCTTTTTATCAGTATTCAATTCCACATGAGATCAGTCTTTAATGATTAAAAATATTCAATCTGCATTTGCTGTCACTGATATTCATTCTTTTACTTCTAAGTGTGTTCTTTACTGATTTACAAAATAGTTTATATCTTTAGTCAATTTAGCTTTAACTGAGATTGCTATATCTACAACTATCTGTGCTCTTCAATGTGATATTAAGAGAATTCAAATTCAGCAGAGTCTGCTCTATAAAGATATGAAAAAGATTTTACATACTAGTGAGAAGCTTGTCTTTGAAAAGAAGGTGCTTGCACATGAGAATAAGACTCTAATTAAAGCTTTATTCAATGAAAAGAAGTGACAACAGTGTGAAAAGCTCTTAGATCTATTGAATCTGAAGCAGCAGTCTGGCTAGACTCAATTCTTCTTATCATTCAAGATTTAACAAACTCATGAGAGGATTCAGAAAGCAGATTACAAAAAAGAGAAGAAAGCTGCTCAACAAGCTCAAGAGTAACTTCAATGTGATCTCTAAAAAGCACATGAAGTTAAAGAGGCTCAGTAAAAATGAATTGAATGACAAGCAGCTTAGGTAGCAGCTCAGACAGCAGCTCACAAAGCTTATGAGGAAGAGAAGGCTAGAAAGACAGAGCAGCATGAAGCTTAGCAGCTTGCTAGAGAGGCTAAAAAGACTCAGCTTGAAGCTGAGAAGCAAGAATGAGCTTATACTTATGCTGCAAAGTGAAAATTGGTCAGTTCAACTACAGCTGCTTCAAAATGACAGCAGAAGCAGGCACCTACAGCAGATTCTAATCCTTTAAACCCTATCCAACCTTCCAGTCTAGGAAATGAGGTCAACCTTAATCCCCTGGAGCAGCTTACTGCTGCTTCTACTACTAATTCAGAAATTGACACTTTTTTGATCAATCTCCTTACTCTATGCTAAATCTTCTGTCATGGTTGCATTCTTCAGTCAAGCACACATCTATTTTATTAAACCACCTATTTTGTATGGAACTATAGAATACTCTCATTACTATTTAATAATCTAATTAATATTTATTTTGTTGTTGTGGAATTAATTAGATACTAGCAAGTTGAGGCAGTTTTGCTGAGAGCAGCTCGTTTAGTGGTAAGTCACGTTAGTGGTGTCACGTTACACATTGGCGATACGCTGCTGAATTTTTGTTGAAGTAAAAACTCATGTCATTGATTCCCATTTTTTTTCTTCTTCTCTTGGTTAGGTGATTAATTAATTCAATCTGGCTGGTTTTCTTTTTCTTTTCTTTTCTTTTCTTTTTTTATTTCCTATCAAGTTGGAGGATATGACAAAGGCAAAAGCAGGCCACGGAGGATGGTTTCTTGCCGCTGATCTACGAGTACACCATCGACCATGCAAACCATTCAGCTGAGGGTTAAACCCCATCTTTTGGAGCGAACGAAACAAGGTTCGGTACAATTGTAAGCTAGTTGGTCTCTTCCAAAGCTCATCAGATTCAATCAAGGGCTTAGCCGGTTAGAGCAGGCGTGGCAAGACAGTTGATACATGTCTGTGATTCATATCTTCCATTTTTCATCAGCCAGGACGAATGTGCGACAACAGCGATGAAAAAGGTTTCGATTCAAAAACAAACAAAAACAAAAATAAATAAATAAATAAATAAATAAATAAATAAATAAAAAACAGGGGGGGAATTCAGGACCACACGGTGCCCGCTGCTACCTCCTTATATAATCAAAGTTGGATATATTGGTTGATTTTTGGAGCGAAATAAGAAAATCAAACTGGCGTGAAATAAAGAGCAAGAAAAGAAGTAGTAAACTAATGTTTGAAGAAAACACATCACATTTGTTTCGCCATGGCCATCCATTCAACCGGCGATACTTCAATGAAAAAGAAATTAAAAGGAGAATCTTACAATATTCTGTTATGATACAGTGAAATTTGAATTGCCCAATGTTTCGGCCAAAAGTGATAAGAGAAACCAAAGCAGGTGAACTGGGAATATAGGGGCAAAGTGCCGTTTGAGAGAGAGGTTTAAAATAGATCCATCTCTTGGGCTGCGGCCACGGGTTTGCTAGACTTGTTTTCATTCAAATGACAGTCAAAGCTTTCAAAATTTTGCGCCGGCTGTATCGATTACCATGCGTTGACTTCGAAATTTTCCTGCGTAACATTAGACTCTCTGCCTCCTTGAATTCTGTTGGGATAAGAAAAAGAAGTTACCTCTGAGAAGTATGTCGTAACAACGGTACGATCCTGGAATTTCCTCCCTGCAAGAGCTTTGAGCGCTTTCGAGGCCGATTCGCTATTATCAAATTTGACATAGATTTTGCCAACACCTGCAGATTGTTTGTTGTTCCCAGTCGGTCTCGGAACCTTGAGTTCGACAACTTGTCCATATTTTGAGCATTCATCACGAACGTCATCGCAGATTTCTATATGCAGTACGTATTATTAGAGGTAATCGAACAGGGGGATTATTGAATAGAACAAAACAAAACACGGGGCCTGCACACCTTCGTAATCGTCATTATCCAGTAGCTCGTCAGTAGTTACCATGTTTAGCAATTGAAGCACACGGCCAGCTTCAATGTCTTGCGAGGTTGTTTTGGCATACATGGACATGGCATTAATGCCCATATCAAGCCCAGTAGCCTGGATGGTTCCGATACTTGCACGAACCACTCTAAGCCTCTTGTTGCCGAGTTCCATGCCATTTAGATTCTCAACCGCGATGTCTGTCGACATCGGGTCAAGATACTCGCAGAATGCAATGCCCTGTAGATAAAGTCAGTGTCAATGTTACAAGGGGTAAAACGGGCCACTTACCCGAGATTCACCCGTCTCACTATCCTTAACAAGAACAAACGACTTGAGCTCTCCAAAGGAAACGAGTAGCATGGTGACCGGCTCTTCCTCAATAAATGGAGGAATATTCGAAACACATATCTTGTTTGGTGTATCAGGAACTACGTTAGAAACAACACCCTCCCGGTGAGGCTCTTCTTCGCCTCCAACTGGAAGAATGTAGTCCTTCGGTCGACGTAACGATAGCCCTTGATTAGACCCATTTGCCTCTCCATTTGATGTATCCATGTCACCAGTGTCCTCCATAGTGATACCATCAAATGCCAGCGCAACGGTAGCATCGGCAGAACTTTTAAACTCAAGTAAACCAAAACTTCTGTCTTTTGATAGTTGAGCGGATACACACGGATCGACCCCTTTGATAACATTGAGACCATTCAACTGAAGGTTAAAGAACTGCACCAAGCTCTCCTCCGTTGCTGATGGCGGTATATTATGAACGAAAAGTCGCTTCGCTTGGCGAGAGTTTGAAGGCCTTAGAACGGTATTAATCGATGTTCCAGGAACAGGTTGGTTCATGAAAGCTTGTAGACGGCTCGGATCCACTGCCTGTTGGCGGGGTGCGCCAGGGAGAGGGAACATGCCTATATGAAGAGGTTAGGGAAAACACAGTTGCGCATGGATACGATATACATTTCGACTCACCGGAGAGCTTTGCCTGTTCCGCTGTTACATGCTCATAACCAGGGGGTTTGATATCCCACTGAGTAAGTCGGCGCTTCCGTTCGAGGATAGGAACAACGTCCGTCAAGTCTGGTGTGGGTTCTCTCTTTTTAGGTGGTGGACTTGCACTCCTCTTTCGGTCCCTGCCACCACCGAATGCATCGCGATCTCTACCTCTGCCTCCCCGGGATCTTTCGTCCGGCATATCTCTCTCGCGTCGGGAAGGTCTATCATCGTCATCTCTCCTATGATCACGTCGCCTATCACTTCTATCTCTATCCCATTCTCTCTCATCTCGCCGGCCTGAATACCTATCCTCCCGCTCTCTGGCGCGATAGTCACGACTAGAAGAATACAGGTCTGTCTCTTGTTCGCGCCGCCCTGACCTTGAACCGTGGTGAGGTGATCTTGACCTTCTTCTTTCTCTCTCCCGTCTGTCACTGCGATCGCCACGGCTACTGCGGTCTCCACGATCCCTTCGCTCTTCTCGGTCAGAGCGACCAGCTCCCTAAAATTATAAAATATAAGTAAAAATAAGCGAAAGAGAGACGTATAAGATGTTCAAACGCCGGGAAGAGCGGAAAAGAATAGCAACATACGTAGAAATCCTTCGACCGCCCCGGATCTGCAAAACGCCATGTGTCAGTAATAACCTCATTCAGGGATCAGTTTGAGGGGTCTTCTATCCTTACCTCTGGAGGAATGACTATCGCCGTTCATCCTGCCACAGCGGTGGATGGAGGGAATGAGAGTTCAAAAAAGTTAAGCGGAGCTGAAATAGCGTATGTGACGAGGACGAAGCCTGCAAATCGAATTTACTGGGAGAAAACAGAACGGAGAGCAATGGCTAGAAATATATAGGCAATGGTTATGTGCTCTCGCTCACAGTCGACATATAAAAAGGCAGAGATGGCGTGAACGTCGAAGAGCCGCGATTTAGCTCAAGAAGGCTTGGCGCGGCTTTCTGCCAGCTCTGCCCGACTCGGCGATGTCACGTGTTGCTTCCCGAAACTTTCCACGGTTCCAAACGTTGTTGAACGGATTGTCTCAGGGGGTTGGTTCAAACGTCCTCCCATAGTTCACCGACATTTCTATACAACCACCTTTTTTCAACGACTGGTGAGGGGCTATCGGTCTTCTCCCCGCAATGTCAATTGGCGCCTTTTCAGAATGGCGAAAGCTGCCGATAAGCTTGGCTGAGCTCTGCATAAACACTACTCTCCGCTGTGGCCAATCATTTCGGTGAGAGCCCAAAACAACCACAGCATCAAAACTATGGCTGCGCATGTCTAACAACATCCCACTTTCTGGGCGGTTTAGATGGCAGAAGTCGGGAGACAATGAATGGAGTTGCGCCCTTTATGGTCGCATCGTCTCCCTACGTCAAGACTCCACTCATCTTTATTATCGATCATATTTCCCCCCTACTGCATCTTCCCTTTTGACCCCTCCTTCTTCCGTACCACCATTAACGACGGAAGAGTTACCCAAGAAGCTTGATGATACAGATGCATTAATCTCCAACTACTTTAATTTAGAGTTGAACCTGAAGAGCTTGTATGAGCAATGGTCAACGGCAGACGAAAATTTCAAGAAGAAAGCTCCCCAGTTCACTGGTATCCGTATCTTGCGGCAGAATGCGTGGGAGGCGCTTATTTCGTTCATTTGCAGTAGCAACAACAATATAGCACGAATATCACAAATGGTATATATAGATACTCAAACAGCCTAACATGCTTCTTTCTTGTTCCTAACAAAACGTTTTGTTCAGGTAGAGAAACTATGCCTGAACTACGGTCAATTTATCGGATTCATAGACAAGAAACCGTATCATGATTTCCCGGCCCCCCAAGCATTGGCAGGTCGTGATGTCGAAGCACGCCTCCGTGAACTTGGATTCGGATACCGGGCAAAGTATATTTACCAAACTGCGCTTATTGTTGCCAACCATCGCGAGGAAGGATGGTTAAATTCTCTTCGTAATCCAGAGTGTCCATCGTTTGGTGCAAAACCTCTATCTGCTGGAGAAATGATGGAGGGAGGTAGAGAGGGATATCGAAAGGCTCATGATTGCCTCCTCGAGTTGCAAGGGGTTGGCCCCAAAGTCGCGGATTGCGTCTGCCTTATGGGGTTAGGCTGGGGGGAAGCGGTTCCCGTTGATACTCACGGTAGGTGACAATTCCCCCTATGTTTACTGCTAAGCTGTGATTTAGGTGCTAAATTGTTTTGCAGTATGGCAAATTGCGCAGCGGGATTATAAATTTGGCAAAGGCAAACATAAAAGTCTAACCAAAGCAACGTACGATGCTGTTGGGAACCATTTCCGGGGCCTTTGGGGAAAGGAGGCTGGCTGGGCGCACAGCGTCTTGTTTACGGCGGATCTGAAAACATTTTCAAAACGGTTAACCAATGAGGTAACCCTTGATGAGAAAATGGTTATAAAAGAGGATCCCGAAACAGAGGCGGAGATAATCACTAAAGTTTCACACAAGAGAGAAATATCTTGTGATTTTAAGGATGCGAAGACACAAGATGACCATATTGACACTAAATCGAACACTACTACGAAGAAACGACGAACTCGACGGGTATGACCTAACTAAACTCCGCAGTTCGTTCATCCTTTTCTCGCCGATCAAACTCTATATCGACGAGCAGTCCCACAACAGGGACGCTACCAAATCCTGATGTGATACCATATCCCTACGTCCCTAAAAAATTTTCTTCCTTCACCTTGTCAACTTGAGCCAGTTGTGTTGTTGAGTCACATCAAGGAGAAGTGTGATATGTCCAAATCTATCTCTTTAGCAAAATTTTCGGCAAAACATGAGTACTAACTTCTAAAACTGGTTTTTGACGACATAACTTTTCATTGCGACAAGAGAAACCCTTTAGCGTGTGCTCTGTCTAGTTTACATCTATTGCATTTGATTCCATGTGTGTTCCTTGAGCGGTTGTTCGCGCCACGGATATTCTGTACCCAGCCATTGTAAACCAAACGCGTGAAAGCATATATTGTTAGGGATCATATGATCCCTATGGAGTTGTGCTTGTCCTTGGTTCCAGTACAGACTTCTGGCGATAGGGTCTTTTTGCCAGGAAGTCTAACATATCTACACCTTGCCATCGGTTTTTGGGTGTGAGCTTTCGCTTATGGATGGATGTACTTACAAGTAACCGTTTATTTGGCCAATTGGTATGGCAACACCTAGTAAAGTTAAAAGGTCGTTTAAATGCAATTTAGAATTGACGATCTGGAGAAATCTCACTTTTTGCGGTCAAATGGAACAGTTGTAACTCTCTAAATTCGGCCCAAATATCCCCGTTCCATTGCTATTCAACATACAAGTATCAATATAAAGGCTCGACGAATGATTTCTGATTCAGATCAGGTCTCGAGACGTTACCGACAAAAGCCCTTTAGAGTTACCCTGTCGTATCGCGGGATCGACAAAATGTAGTAAATTTTTTGTGGAAGCTAAATATCATCAATGTGTATAATTAACAGTCTAACATGGTTCCTTGAACTCCATTAACACCTTCATTAGATGTATTCGTTCTGAGAGTCTCGAGCAAAAGAATGTATTACAAGGATACGTCAGTTGTATTTCCCAAATTCACAAATGAAGAGGAACAGCAGAACAATAGATAAATTAGCAATTGCATAGGTATTTTATTTTTTATTTTTTATTTTTTATTTTTATTTTATTTTATTTTATTTTTGGAAAACAACGTGTAGTTATTCTATGAAGATAAGAAATTTTAATTTGAAACTGATCTGTTGGTCCTGCAGGTCCAATTCGCTGCTAGAAATATCTTCAAAAAATTATGCACTGCATGCGATTCCTTGTGATAGTGCAGATGTCTCTATTCTCCTTCAAGAGACGGAAGTCCTGGTTCAATTCGAGTATAATTAGTTAACTCCCTCCTCCACCCCCTCCCTCTCCCTCACACCCTTTTTTTCCCGAGGCAGAAACAAATTCTGAAAACACCAAGTCGAAGTCAATTGTTTCAGAAGGGAACACTGTTACTAGGCGAGAGACTGCTCCAGCATAGTCGTCTAGGAGGCTGAGTTGGGCATGTCCAAAATCCTCCACCACTGCTGCCCCTGTTGCTGCTGCTGCTGCTGCTGGTGATGAGTGTCCGCTGGCGGAATGGGTTCCCAATCCATTATCTCATGCAGGCTACGTGATGGCTGAAGGGTTTCAAGATGCTGCTTAAGGGTATTGAGCTCCTGGGTGACAATGCGGTTGCGTTGGAGAAGGGACTTGTATACACGAAGGAGGTGGTGGTTGACGGGCGGGAACGTACGTGGGGCGGCAGAAGAGTTGGCTCCGTCGAATCGACGCTGGCGATTATGAGAGCCTTCTGTCAATGACATGCGTAGGAAAACTTGGCGATTCCGGAGCTGATTGCCACGGTACTGTCGCCGAAGTTGCGATGGTGCCGACAGAAACATCGGAAACCGTCTTTTGGATTGCGGATTCTTGTACTGATATCAGTAATCTCCTATGTCCATCACACGCTAGAGTGGACTGATGGGAAAACTCCTGTAGAGTCAGTAATTGGCTATTCATACCTTACCCTGATGACCCATTCCTCGCTGTTTGGGCAAAGAGATCCTCCCCTTTTTTCTGGTTCGAATGAGCCAGCAATCTGGGTTGTGACCGTCTTAACTAATGAACATTCTAACATCAGGCACGCCGACCTAAGTATATATAAACAAGAAGACCGTCACTCCAGTTCTACTGAAAGAGCGTTGTTGAATCCTATTTCTTACTTGGAACAATCGAATGTGTCTACGGATGCTTCTACTGACGACGATAGAGAGCTTTTGGCATAACGGTGTTCTATATGAACTTCTAAAACGTGTTTCATGATATTGTCTTAGATGGTTCTGTCCGCGAAGACACATGATTCCAAGTCCCCGGAACATTCTCTGGCATTTCACCCCCCTCCCATTCCTTCAGCAGTTGCTTAACACGGTATTCAGTAGCCCATCCAAGATCATCCTCAATCCCATTTAACAGTTGCAGAATGGCTCTGCGCTCTCGAGGATAGGTGAGACACTGGCCAGCGACAAACAAAGGTTGTACGGAATGGATACGCACGGAAGCGTCCAGTCGAGCCATAGAGATTCCGAAAATCTCACGGCAGTGGAATATTATCTCATTCTCTGTGGCTGGATAGGATTTCGACTTGCTTGCCACCATATGCTCATTCACAGTGGATTCGGGTGGTTTATTGGCCAGAAGAAGGATACATGCCATGTGGTAATGCTGCATTGTTGATCCACACATGGGGAGGCTGTACCACACTTCCTGGCAAGGTAACGGCTCTTCATCTGGACCTTGGAAAGACGGATAAGAAGACTCCAGTCTGATGCAAGGTTTGAACGTGTTCGGTAAGCCACTGTACCATCTGCCGAGCTCTGTTTGAAGCCTATCCCATCTCTCAAAAGCAGTTTGCCGCCAGACACCAATGGAAGAAGATTCGGTAGGGTCATTCTCCGTGCTGCTTAAGCTGTTACCTGTTGCTATAAAATTCACAACTTTCGAGAGGATCCAAATTAGTGCATTCGATATTAAATCTTCTTTCATGACATCTCCTTCTGGATATCCCGAACCAGTTGTATTACTTGGCCGGACAAATCCTGCATTATCCAACAGAAGGCCAGCTTCAGTCCAAAGGAACAAATTTTCCGTGTTGAGCCCCGTCCGGCACTGGTTAATGACTAGTTAATCATCGTTAGCAGAAACCTTTACAATACGGGTCAAACGTTTCCACAAGGGAGATCTCACAAGCAGATAAATAATCCTGACGAGCGAAACTCCAGAACGTCGCCTCCCGCGCCTTGGAGAGCCCTAGCCTTTGTGCGCCTGCTAACTCCAGTTGTTCCACTGGCATCATACCAGCTTCTGCAATATCAAACAACGACTGGACTCCATTCAGATGCCGATTCCAAGTTGGTCCGGTTGTCTCGAGAAATTCATACAATGATAAAATTGCCGCTGCTGCAAGTACTTCATCTGAATGTGTGCTTGATAGACAGCTATTTGGATAATCCTGCCGTTTCTGAGACGGACTAGAATCATTACACAGCTCTGGTTCCGGGTGCAAAACTTCCATCAGAAGCTGGATAGCTTTATCATAATATTTTGCACAGTGATAATACCAGTCAATCTTCTCAGCATCAGGCCAAACTTCCATTGTGGCCTGTCTACCACATATGCCTCCTACTATAGCCTTTTTACCTTTCACCCGCCCCAACTGCTTAGCTGCATATGCGCAAGCGGCGTATTTTAGCAAGGGCTCAGTGATGGCTTTAACAGGAACGTAGGTGGCGAAATATGTGCCAAAATCAAAAAGATCCATCCTGGAAAAGTTAGCTATCGGTTAAATCATTTACATTCAGTATATCATTATAAGAAACTTACCATTGTCCTGGAGCTTCTGAAAAATGACGGAGCAAGAATGCAATCTTACGGTCAGACTCAACATCTACACCCACTTCAGCTCCTAGACCTGAATTCAACTCTTTCGACCCAGATGGCGTTGAAGCGCTGAGTGCCATTTTGCTATGGTGTGGAGACGACTGGAGATTCGGGTCGATAGGGGAGAACGTTGATGTTGACGGGTTGAGTATAAAATTGATATTGTTGTTCGGGGAGGATATTGATGCGGATGAGAATGTTGGAGCTGGCATACTTGGACGTGTAGGGTTTACAGAAACTGCTAGTGCCAGAGGAGCTGGCAGTTCAGCCTGACTCGAGGCAGTATTATTCGCAAGATTACTGACAATATCATTTCTCCTCGTCGACGGATGGACTGGGGTTGAAGAGTTCGGGAGAAGATGATAAGGTCCCCCGGTTGCCGCCTCTGAGAGAGCCTCCAGACCTTGTGTCTGGACATCTAGTGATGATTGATGACGGTAATTATCATTAGCATCCCAGGTTAGAGGTTGTGGGTTGGCAACAGGATCGCTGGTTGACGCGATAGGGTGGTCATATTCCTCCACGAACGGTTCAGAATTGTCAATAAACGTAACTAACAGAACAACAATCATTAATCTTTTTTGCCAAGAAGGTTTCCGTACGGGCCTCAATCGAATAAATATGGATATGAAGGTACGGTACACAATCAGTACATATCAGCCTCCGTACTTTGTTTGGGGATCTCCAACCAAACGCTATTCTCATCAAAGGTATTTTTGTATGAATAAAACCGCCTCAAGGAGCTTCCGTCACCATCGCCCGTCACCGTTCCATTCATATTCATAGACGCATTCTGTTGGTGACGGAAAACTACGCCCTCGCTGGGTCGACACTCACGAGATGCCTTCCAACATTGCGAACATTGCGGCTTCTGTTCGTCGCATTTCAGCTTTCGGGATCGACACGTCAAGCTGGTATTTGCAGAAATCACAGACTTAGCACGTAGTTATGGGAACAGGCCGGCAGATACCACCAGAAATTCGGACGGGAGGGCCAACCCCGGATATGGCATTGTGTGATACGTAAACGGAGTCACATACCACCCAGTTCTTGAGCGCATGATGAAAGCATGCAATTGAAAAGCGCAGGTTGCCCCCTTTTGTGATTTATCTGTCTTCTTTTCTTGTCTTCTTCAAGATAATATAATCAAACAGCTTTCTTCGGAGCGTTGAGAGAGCCAGTCGCATCGAGTGGCAGGGGAGTTGATCGATCCATCTCTATCTGTCCCATTAACCAGCGAAAATAAAAAAAAAAAAAAAAAGGATGTGGAGATTTAGTTGGTCCACCGACTGAAACACAGGATCACTAATGGGGGTTCCCAAGTTCCAGCTGCTTAGTTTAGTTAAACAGATGCCTCGTTTGGTTTAGTTGACGGTATGTTTCCTTTGAGCTTAGAATAGTTGCAATCTCGAGGTTCTCGGGCATGCTGATCGTTAACGAATGATAATTGCACCCGTGTAAGCTACCCGGCTAAATAGAATACACACCTCAAAGGTTACTATAAAATCAAGGACAGAGGCTTTTCCATATAGCAATGCTGCTAAACCAAAGCACCTGTTTAAGCTCTGCCAAATTCTCTATATACCTAGGAGGGATTTCGTTACTGTATTAGCTACTAGATGCAGAGCAACCTATCTCTCCTTTTGTCTCTTCTGCTCGTTGAAAAAAAATGCTTTTTGGCGAAAAATTCCACGTTAACGTCAGCACCAAGCAATGTGTGTTTCAAGCATAAAAAGCGAGCGAAGAGAGAGTTGAATGCTTGTTGTATATTAAAACTCAAGTACCCGCCTCGATCTTCTTACCATAAACCACTCGAACAATAAATGGACCAGAGTTGACTGTAGAGAGAACAGAGATCTCCCCGTGTTTCTGTCCATATAATTACTGATGTATAACCCTGTCCTCCGTATACATTTAATGAATCGTGTGTGATCTTAAGTAGTAGGGTGATCTGATGTTATTAGCAGGTAAGCGACGTAACTATCCATCCTTGGTATCAATCTGGAGCTGTCATTATGAGGATACCGCGGAAAGCTGGCTCGGGTCGGTTGAGAAATCTGGAAAGCCAAACCCGCTCCGCTGCCTAGCTACCTAGGTACGTATGTACACATGATAACGTGCATGGCTCAATAGCTATTTCGGTAGAAAGGGAAAGGAAAATGACTGAAAAGAAGAACGACTCACGAAAGAAAAGATTGGAAAAGAAGGGAGAGGATTGAAAAAGAAGAGGGAGGATCGTTCGGTCAAGATCAGTAATATCTAATAGGGGTGACCGGGGAGAATATAAAAAGGGAAGTGTAAGGAAAAGCCAAGAAAGGCAAAGGTGAAGGAGTATCCAGGTGCAAGAGACACACACAAGAACATGTTGAAAATATAATTAGTTCAGCAATAGGGACAGACGTGACAAAATCTAGGAAGAATGTTTCCAGTCCGTACACCTTGCAGAGGATAAAAAGAAGACAGGCACACACAGAGCAGAGGTATGTTGGCCAAATATCGCGATCAAATGGGAAAAACACCAGAGAGGAAAAAATCCTTTAGGAAAAGAAAGAAGAAAAAAATAACGCCAAATGTAGAAAAATATCAAACAGGGTATTTTCCTCCCGCCCAGACGCCATTACAAAAATAATGTAGAAAAAGGTGCAGTGAAAGAGAGAAAGAAAAAAAAAAAAACTCTAAATGATAAACAGGACTCCCAGGAAGCCGAAATGGTCCATATCATATGACTGGTACGCCAGATGTTCGCCGTCTTAAGGAATCCAAGAGGTGTTCAGGAGGGATTCGTTGTAGGTCTGGGCGACGGTCTGTGCCTCGAGGCACTACGACATAACCTTGTCGGCGACGCTGGATACGATTCAAGATAATTCCAATCAGAACAATCAGGAATACACAGCCCAATGCAATACAGAAGGAAACCAGAATGACGATTCCTCTCGAATGAGGACGACCTGTATCGAATAAATGTCAGAATGTGTCTCAAAAGTGTGCTGATAGTGCAAATGGTAACACTTACGGCCCCCTCTGAATGTGTTTCTATTTTCAGAGAATAGCTCTGTAACTATGCCTGGCTGACCATCGCCCTTCGTCGACAGGACGAATGGTGTTAATGTGGTTCCATTATATAGAGCACCAGATGCACTACCAAAAACAGGAATTTCGAGCTTGCCAGAAATGAAAAGCACTTGGTCCTTATCGAGCGTGGTAGTTTCGAGGTGGTTTTTCCTAACCCCAAGAACCTGGATCCCATATATCGTACTCTGTTTCTCGAAGAGAGAACCAGATACCAGGAATTTCGAACCATCATAAAACACAAGGAACGGAGAGCCATCAGACGACTTCCCAGCAACCCAGAAGCGAGAACCGTCCTCTCTAGCAAGGCCAAGAGCCGTGACTGGCCCGGGAATAACGCCAGTCGCCCCGTCTATTGAAGACCAAGCTCGGGTCGTCGCATCAAAAGTAGCCAAAGTAGTTTGGTTATTTGCAACCGTGAAATTCCCCGCGACGATAAGTTTATCCTTGTTCGCCCACTTAAGCACGGAAACGTTGCCCTGAATACCATTGCCCACCCTCGTCCATTGGTTCGAAGCAGGCTGGTAATTGCATACAGCTGGACACGGCAACCCACCAACTGATTCGAATTGGCCACCGACGTAAACATCCGTAGATTCTGGACGTGGAGCGATGGAGCTTACAACAACATTGCCGTCACCTTCCAAAGCTGCTGGCTGACGGGCTTGGTATTCCATGCGTTGGAGATCGTAAGCGACAAGACCGCTTATATTTGACCCGGAAACGCTACCGGTGACAATCCCGCCAGCAAACAGTGAGTCTCCCTGGAAACCCATCGTCAAAAACGTTGATGCAGTGTCAATGCCAGACCCGGTACCGGTGATGGAATTGTTGCGTGAACCGTCCATGAAAAGTAAATTATTAACAGTTGCGTCATTCTCTCCCTTTGCAGAGAAATGGCCAGCCAATATGGTGAGGTTTCGTCCCGAACGATTGTAGAAGAGTCCTGTAGTTACAATGGGAACATCTTGCAAGGCGGCGAGGGGCTTTTGTAGCGATGAGCTTGCTTCTATCGACTGTATGTTGACGGGCAGTGGTTGAAGGCCAAGACCTTTATTGTCGGTTAATGCAACAGCTCCACGAGTTAAGAGTCCTCCCGACATAAGGCTACCAGCAAAAAGGGTGGTTACATTCTTAACCATAAGTGACGTGGTAAGCTCTCCAATAAAAGCCGATTGGCTGACGTCGAGGTTCTGCAGCCAATTCTGTCGAGAAGGAACCCAAATCGCGAAACCTAGAGCTATTTGTAGGGGATATTTATCGAATGGAAGGATATGCGAAAAGTTCCCACTGAAAGCAACAGCAGGTTCAGGCTTGTTGTCTGTTAGGTTGAGAGAGAAATAGACAACGGACTCCACTCGACCATCTACACCTGCCCCTAGAGGACCCCATGCCTTTTTGGATAGTGAGTATGCAGCGACGTTACTAAGGCTCTTTCCACTCTCACTTGTACCACGCAATGTGCTCGAGAAGTTACCACCAACGAAAAGAGAATCTTCAAGCAGCAACACAGAATTAACCTGAGAATTCAGCCCTCCATCTGGCAAAGAAACAGTCTTGCCATCCGTGATGGACATAATGTTGCTGAATGAGGAGCTGGAGAAATTTCCAGCAATAAAGAGAATATCCTTCCCAAAAGCCAAACTCGTTACTGACGCGCCAGGATCAAGATCCATTCCCGCTCTATTAATGGCGGACTTTGAGAAGTCTACGCTGGTTTCCTTAACTTCCGGATCAAACTCGTATAGACCGTTGAGACCGCCAGTCGATGAGATGAGTTCGAACCGAACACGGGATGCAACAACGTGAATGTTCTGTTGGCCAGCTTTTGTAGTCAGCTTCACGGTTGGTCGAAAGTTACTGCTGCTAACATCGACAAAGCCCAAGAATATTTGATCATATTTGTCAAAATTATTCGTCTGGTATATCACGGTCTGCTCCTGCCTGTCGCTATTGGAGGTGACCGACCACGTAACATCAACCATGCCACGGGTATCACATGTATTGTCCTGTAGACATCCAGGAGTAAAAACAGTCACTGAGTAATTTCCCGACTGTTTTATGTCCGGCATGAAGGTCACCGATGTCGGCGTCTGATCTGTCGATGCAACCTGGGCTATTAAATAGTCGGACGTGCGGTGACGTGAGGGAGTAACTTGCCAGCTCCCCGTTGCGCTTGAGGAAGAACCAAATGGGATTCTGGCGCATTTAGGTTCATTAAAGTCATCCACGGCGTACGTATAAATATCTGATACAAAGTTAACTTGGCCCACTTGATTAGCACACGGGGAGGGATATCATACCATCCTGAAAGAGTTCCAACCCATCAAGGCCTGCACCCTGGCCATACCATTCAGAAATATCAAGCTGGAAACCACTCACGCCAACTTGATTGACGAAAGTGAAATCGCGATATTTTTCGGATGGATCGTCGGAGAGGGGACATTGCGAATCGCAAGCCTTGATATCACCGGTGGCAGGATCAGTGTAAGTCATGTTCAATATTCCATTGTCCGGAACAGCCGTAAAATGAAAGGTTTTCGTGCCTCTTCCATCTAAATGCGTGTTATAAAGCCTCAATTTCGTTGGCTGGTATCCAAATTTCATATCAGCACGCCAATACCCGGGGGAGTTATCTGTAAGCAACCATGGATTGCCAGCATTGCCTTCACCAAATTGCTTGCATATAATATTGCGTGGATTACTATAGTCAGTATTCGTTGTACTCGACCCGGCTGATATTCTTGAGGTGTCGAGGTTGATAACCTGTTGGTCCTTCAAAGCTGGAGTTGTCGCATTTCCCAATCCGTCAAAGGAGCCTCCAAACACGATGTGGTTTTCCCGGGTTTTGGCGATGGATGAGACGGGTCCATTGAATCCAGCGAACGGAAGGGAAGAGAACCCTGAACTTGGGGACCATATAACAGCATTACTGGATTCCGGCGTTTTGAAATCCCCCCCTACATAAACAATTCCGTTTTCGTTATCGCAAAGCAAGGCCAAGACCTTTCCAGACAGGTTAGATATCGGGGTAACGTGATTAGAATTCATATTAAATAATGCAATCCCTTGAGATTCAACACCGCCTAAACTTGTAAAGTTTCCTCCAACAACCACGTCGGTAATTGTGCCATTCTCCGCCATCAACGGGCACAGTGACAATATATCAGCGTCGGCGGAGGCGAGTGTAGCGAGCGCACCGTTTGGCAAGGCCGTAAGGAGTGATTGAGAGCGGGTACCATTTGGTAGATGATTGTTCGGCCTCTGTTCTTCGAACTGGTATAGCGATATCGCGTCAAAGCTGCCTGTAAGTGCGACTCGACCCAGGGGCTTGAGATCAAGATCTGGCTGGACAACCGGCGTCAAGTGGATAGCATGGGCTGTCGAGAGCAGGATTGAAAGCGCTAGAAAGACGGAGGAAGAAAAGAGAGAAGGGATATTTGCCGTCGCTGGCTCGACGGGTGAGGAGGAGAACCTCATCGCGCCACCGGCGACGACACAGCTACTCCCTCGTTGAGATACCTGGGGGTTACAGGTCTACCAGGCGGTCAATCTAGGTCCACTGCAGGTGTCGAAATTCAAGGCTAACGGGGACATCGAGAAAGGAGAGATATGGAGGATAGGATGTTTTGTTAAACGAGTGTGTGACGAGAAACAAGATATGGATCTCACATCCCTTAGCCAGTGACAGAGTAAAAGGAGTGAGGGTTGCCCGCAGGGCAGAGCAATGGCTTAGGGTAAAAGAATGAATGAGGTGGACGGGAGGTTTGAGCAAATTGCACTGCCTGAAGTGTTCCAGGGTGCCCAGGGGCAGCAACGAGGAACGGTACCACACGGTACCAAGATATTGTACCAAGACATGTACCAGCGTTAGCAGTTGTTAGGGCGTTAGGGCAGCCAGGTACTGCAGTTACCGGGCTTGGGAACGTAAGCTGAGTCAGCCCCACTCGTTCAGAGGCCTTAGCGGGCGGTGGTTGGCTGACATCCTCGTCGTCTGAAATAAAAACAGCAGCCTATTCCTGTTGCAGCCCCGATCAATGATCATACGGTATGGTTCGGGGGGGTCAGGTGGTAATTTACCAGTCCCTAACAGGAAAGGTTGCCGTGTCTCCCTAAGCCGTTGGATTGCTGTTAATTTAAGTCAAATCCCCAAAAGGGGGCATGTTTTGGCATGTTTTTTTGTTGTTTGTTGTTATTGTTTGTTGTAGGAGTGCCACTAATACTGTACATAACATACATGTTGTCACGTTTTTTGCCTGTACCAGAGTTCTCTATACTTGTCTCTATTTCCTCTTGTTATACGAGTCTTTCTTTTCTTCTTATTCCAAGGGGGAACAGGATATACACGCATTTGCGAATAGCTGGAGCGGTTGTGAAACTGGTTGATGGCTTAAAACTTCTAAGCTTTGGTTCCTTCTTTTGATGCGAAGGAGCGGGTGGATCTCGAAGCCCCCTCCCCAGCTGCAACCTCGCCTTTCCAGCTCACATTGCCAAATATAAGAACACATCGTCAATATGCATCTCCACTGGGGTTGTCTCATAAGCCCTCTGCAATTCCTTATTGTTCAACTGTGCATACATATACCTGATGATGCTCATCCCCTTGATCGCAGCAATTATAATCAATATCTCGAGCTATATATACACACATATATATATATATATATATATTTTAAGAAGGATGGTGAGAAAAAAAATTATGAAAGAAAAGCAAAAATAAAAATAAATAAATAAATAAATAAATAAATAAATAAATAAATAAAAGAAGAAAACCTTAGTTCCGTCAGTTCAAGGGCGCAGCGCCTCACTTCAGTTTAGAAAGCCTCCTGTATGATGTGTCGGAGCCTGAGAGGCCTTGATTATTACAGCAACCAAAAATATTCTTTATCCTTTTAGGATTAGCTCACTTGGCCAGGAAGCTTAGATAGAACATCTGGGTCTTGGGCTGCCAACTGGGAATTTTCTCCATTTTGATTGACTCGAATCCGCCGCGCACCGACATGCAACCCGGGAAGCAGTGGCACAATGGCATCGCTCTTGTATCGCGGCTCAAGCAGTTCATCTCTTTTTAGAATCTCGTGACAGACTTTTTCTAAGCAAAAAGGTGGAAGAAGGGGGGGGGACAACAGCAAAAATTGAGGGCAGGATGGACGGTCAGTTATCCATGTAGTAGTAGTCAGTTAATGATCAACCTGGAATTGACCAGACTCAAAATAATCCGGGCCAAAAGACAAAGCCCTGCCCCGGAGGAGAAAAATAGTTGACAATCGGCTATTTGGGACCAATAGGTCAGGCTATGATTCCAGCCCTCGACCGATCGGCTAATGGGTGCCCCGTGGACTGACCCATCGATGTCAAGACAGACAGATGTTATTCACGGAGATCCCTGGGTTCAGAATCCCGTGAGAGACTTATGGGCATGACAGTTTAACGCGAGTGGCATTATCTAACCGTCAAAATAAAACAAAAATTGATGATTCCTCGAAAAGTCGAAACCTAAACCTTCCTCGCGTCCAAGAACCCTACTTATTTACAAACACCTTTCGTCCGTGGGAAACATCACCACAGCATGAACCTTTCAACTTCTCAACTTTTCAACATACCATGTCCAAGCCCTGTCAGCCCTAGTTGGTTTGCCGTTTTCCTCCTTCGTGTCTTCCATGCGGGGATCCTTAACCCATGATGACGGTCAGTAATTGGATCAAACATCGCTCGGTTATACTCGCAAGGAACTAGAGGGGGGTCTGGACAGACTTTTCCCCTGGAACGCAACTTGTTGATAGCCAAATGGTTCAATGTTCGGTAGGTTTTCGAAAAGGCATTCTAGAGTTCTTGGCCATGTTTTTTTTTTTTTCTTTTTTTTTTTTTCCCTTGCGTCACAGGTACAATACGAAGACAAAACTTTCCCCACACCAAACATTAAATTCGGCATTGCCAAATTATCGAGAACCTGAACCTAATGAGAGATATACACAAACTTCCCATGATGTACTACTCCCTTGTTCCAATGTCTTTTCATGTTCAGCGGATTCGCCGATAACCAGGGAAGTCACTAGGCGTCATATCTCAAAAAGAACTCAGAGAGAGATGCAAGGTGCATGTCGAAATGCGATGGGTAACACCCCGCCGCGCTCTAAGGAAGATGTGGGACATCCTCTATCGTATACCAATCACCTCGCAAACCGTTGGGGAGAGAGACGTCGCAATTTCGTCTATCGCCAGAGATATTCTGCTTGCTTTGCACAAGGCTTCATTCTGGTCTTCCTCTGTCAACGACTGAAGGATAGGTTTCCCAGTTTTACGTGGGTATCTACGGGGCAATGAGGGGCCAAATAATACCATCATTACGATAACAAAAAGCTAATTTTCTGATGATTGGACAGTACCTTTTCTTTTATCTACGTAAGTGGTTTTTATTGAACCTTGGGAACGGGTTTCCAGGGTTTGATATATTATTAGTACCAGATGTCAAGGGGTCTGTTTAACAACTCTTGGCAGGCCCCTTCCCCTTTTCCCGCAGTAAATCAGCACAAGAGAGAACAGGAATTACTCCTTGATGCTAGAACTGCTCGTCCAGGAAATCGTAGGCTCACGATTGAGGAGATGAGATAGCCAACCCAAACCGTGATACTGGATTTGCGTGATTGAAATGTGAAGTAATTGTGGGGATCCTGTAGGTTCTCGTTCCATGTCCTTGCGGTGGGCGACATTCATGGTTTGGGTGAAAGTGTCTGTCTCCTTTAACTCGGCGAATTTAACGCTGTCTAACCTTGCGGATGTCCGATCCGAACGATGTTTAACCAACCCAAGTTACATTAAGTAGTTAAATACGTCTTAAGCGCTGAACCTCAGCCATATCATTTTTATTTTTTTCAATCGTGACGTCAATCATCGGAAATGTTGGCAGTTAGATCATCACAACAGCCATTTTCAAACCAAACTCTCTTTTTCGGCGGATATTTTTTCGTGATGAACTTTCAGTGGTTCGAAGTTTAGTTGAAAGGGAGAGCCGGAAGCACCGGCAGCTGGTTTGCGTTTGGCGAACAGCTGAGAGCATTCTTAATCTGAATAGCATTGTTTGCCGGGATTCAAGATCGGGTTTTGGAGACTCCATTCCTGCGAAAAATCAGTTTCAATGAAGATGGAGGTTTTCTCTCCGCCGGCTCTGGTTTTGGAATTTTCTTCAGCTGGTATTTTCTTCCCAACCGTCTCGCCTAGGTGCAGGACGAGGACAAAAAAAAAAGCCTTGCGTGAGATGGATACAAGTTTGCCTTGTTTACAGAGCTATGGTTCATTGACTTCGTCGTAACCTATCTCTAGGAAATCGTGGCAAGTTTAATCTTTGTAGAGTGATGGTGGAGTTCATGAGTGCTGGCGACTACTCTTACCATCCAGCAGAACACCGTTCGCGACACACTACATCTTGATGATTTTGGAACTGTTTGACTGTTCATAGATTTATATACCCCCCCCCCCCCCCCCCCTTTTTTTTTTTTTATGCCATCAACGGTGTACAAGGCCATCTACGCATTATGGAGCAGCTGACCTGTTTACGCTTCTGAAGATTTTGGGAGTGGTTTAATCTTATATTCGATGTATTGATTGGCCGATTCTTGTTGTTCTGATTGAGATTAAACCCACTTCGCGGATTAAAGGATATATTCCCTCAAGAGGAATATCCATGGATCTTCTGCCCGCAGCCTCAAGATATAGCGTCCGTAAAGGCTTCCCTTGTCGCAAGAAAAAGGTGGGCGGGGCAGAACCCCTTACTAAATGATCTTAAAACCAAAGCGCAACCCCAGACGCCACCTGTTTAATTTAACCGGGCTCCATCCATCCTTAATCACTTCCCCGTCAAATCGTAAATCTTCTGGATACCCGTTAACACTTTCTCAAAATCAATCTTCAAATCCGTCAACAGCCCATTCTTGATGTTAAACACCCACCCGTGCACAATCGGATACTGGTTTTTCGAATACATCTTCTGCACAGCTGCCGTCTTAATGATGTTCCGACACTGCTCAATCACATTCAGCTCTACAAGCCTGTCATAGCGCTTGTTCTCATCCAGGGCATCCAGCTCCGCCTCATGGAGCCGGTAGACGTCGCGGATATTTCGCAGCCAGGGGTTCAACAAGCCCAGGTCTGCCGGTGTCAGAGCAGCCTTGACGCCGCCGCACTCGTAATGCCCGCAGACAATGATGTGCTTGACGTGCAGGTGCCGCACGGCATAGTTTATCACGCTCATCACATTGAGATCGGTGTTGCAGACCAGGTTGGCGATGTTGCGGTGAATAAAGGCCTCGCCGGGGTCTAGGCCTGTTATCTGCTCGGCAGGAATACGGCTGTCACTGCAGCCAATCCACAGGTAGTCGGGGTTCTGTCCGATGGAGAGCTTCTCGAAGAAGTGCGGGTCCTTGGCGGCCTTTTCTGCTGCCCATTTCCTGTTGTTCTCGAAGACACGCTCGTGTGTTTCCTGGAGATATTTGGAGACGTCGCTTGGGGCCATCTGGCTTATTGTTCGGCGGGTGGTGCAGGGATGGGGAAAACGCGGGAGGGGTTTATTGACGAGGTGGTTCTGGTGGTTGAATAGGAGGCTGGATTTGTTGATGCTACTTCGTGTAGGTGTGGTGATGGCAGTGCATTGAGTTCTGAGGGTCGATAGGGTTGATACCTGGCGGGGTCGGAACATCGGTCGGCGTGAATGCAGGGTTAGAGGGGGCAGTTCAATTAATTCTGCAGCAGTATGAGGGCCAATGGCAGAGTTTTATGACCTTTCCCTCAATATTGGTGTGAGGAAACAGATTTGCATGCAGACGCACGTGATGTAGTTAACTAGCTAGTTAAAACTAGTTAACTATTTACAATTGGTGATGTCATTTTTCAAAAGACCCTTAAAAGGTGTTTGTAAAACACCGTATATCAAGCAGCTCACGATTATTTCTTATGCCAATTATGGCAAGGCTGATCTAAGGTAATGTAACTGAAATGTAAACTGAAATATAACACAATCAACACCATCCCCTCTCTGCTAGGACATTAAGTCGTATTGTATTCACCCTGCCAGTCGACGGAGAATTCAATGTAACAGAGAAAAAACAAACAGGTGCCCTATCAAACAAAGAAACAGAGGATGCTCTCCTCTTGCGAGACCTTTCTAGAAGCTCAAGCTCTCAACTCTGAATAGCTGCAGCTGCCACCAGTGCATCGAGTGCTGAGCTCTGGGTCGATGCGAGGGCAGGGGGCGCGAAAGGTCCGGCCCAGTTAATACCAAACTGATTCTCATCATTCTTGTCATTGGCCCAGATGGAATCTGCATTCTTTTCAATGAAGAATTTGTACTCTGATTTCAGCGCAGTTTTGTGCAATACCTGCAGATTGCGCATGAAAATTCCCTTGAATTGCGGTCCGTCACCACCACAGTCGGGTTCACAGCGGTCATGTAGGATGCCGTGCTCATCGGATAGAGTACGAATTGCCGCCGTAGCGATGGCATGCGCGTGATCTAGGAAGGAATTGCCTTCTCCGGGGAACACTTTGGAGAGCTCGACCAAGGCACCGAGAATGACGCCTTGGTTGTATGACCATACGATCCCTCCATTGTTCTTGCAGATGATTAAGTCTATGCCATCATTGATATTATTTTGCATGTTTATCAAGCCAGATTGCTTGAACCATTTCCACTCCTTTATTGCCCAATCACTGTAATATTTTGCTTTGTTGGGGACACGGGTGGCGAGATGTGCTGCCACGCTCAGGAAAAGTTCGTTCGAGATGGCAACCAAGGCTGTTTGGCGTTTATCCCACCAGATACCCCCACCACACCGCCCACTGTCCCACCCACCTGTCATATCTTCGAAGATATCCCTTGCCATTTGTAGGTATTTCTGGTCTTTAGTTACGTCGTAAGCGTTGATCCATCCCAAAGCCCACCAACCCTCATCGTCGTAGTAGTCGTTGATGAAGCCAGGAAAGCTGTGCCATAGGGATGATGCGATGATAAATGGTGGGTTAAGATAACCAATCTCAACCAAACCATTTGAAGGGACCCTTGTGTAAAGTCTGGCTTGTGCCTTCTGGGCCTGCTTGAAAGTGGCACTAAAAATATCTTTCCCTATCGACGCGGCATAGTCGTTCAAAGGCATTAGGTTCCCCACGGTTGTTAGGCAGTTTGCACTATTCCACCACCCTGTCGTCTCCCACAGTCCTGTTGATGCATTATACCATTTGTGCAGAGCCTGTAAACCCACCTCTGCATAGCTTCCATAGTTGGGCAGCGCTAGGGCATAAGAAAGGAGGAGAGTGCAAGCAAAGACAAGCCCTCGCATGGCTGCCGTGATATTAGCTGGAGGGAGTTAAGAAGAATGGCGATGAATTTCCAGTGTCTTGTGATGACGTATCTACGAGCTGGCATTGCTTCTTAGCACCGGGTTGGTGTTGACTCTTTGAGCAGTCCGAGAATGCAAACTCCCGGTCAGGAGATTACACAGTGCCCCTGATTCGGGAGGCTGCGAACGGAGAAAACGGCTAAACCTAGATGAACGAGGTTCAAGGAGGTATGTATCTGGCGCCCCACGACAGTTATCTCGTGAAATTTGGGGAAGAGCTGTGCCATATGATGATAGCAAATCCCTGAGTTACCGGACCTGGTTAAAATATCACTGTTTTATATCTAGAAATTTGCCAAATTTGGTGGCTATGTGCTCGGGTTTTAATTCACCAGGGATTCTCGGATTCTGAACCTCTTGAAGCTGAACGAAAGGGCCAAATGAAGAACGGAACCTCAATATGGTCGGGGTTTTCTTTTCTTTTTATTTTTTATTTTGGGTTGTAGTTGTATGGAGAAAGGTAGTGAAATCGATGATTGTGGACCGTGGACAATTCATGGTCTTATGCATCAGAAATCAGCTGGCACAGACATCTCGGGATCCCCGGGTTTCGCAATTACGTATTAAGATATCCTGGATATAAAATCCAGGATCAGAGCTTGGTCAACGGCATGGGACCGTTTTGTTTGAGGTGCAGCTGATTGGAACAGCTAAGCAGAGTCGGTAAACGGGAAAAACTTTCTAACGCGTTGGTGGTATCATGGCACGAGGTAGTTAGTTAACGATGATGTCGACGATGCTTATGTCAAATAACTAGCTTTTTTCCCTTTTCTCAGGTTTATTGACTTCAACACTCCGAGACGAAGGGAACAACCACGCTTGTTCTCCCAAAACGAATACTTGTTGATATCTTGCTTATTTATATAATAGTATATACATATATAAATAAGTAAAATAAGATAAAACGAACAAAATATAAGAGAAGGTCATTGCAGTTTTCCATAGTTAGTGACTTTGTCCTTACACGCATGTATCTATCACCCACCAACACTACGATATGCAGTAGTATAGAACCCTCCTCGAACCCCCCCTCTCGCTTTCGCGGCTTGGACTGGTTACAACGTTGTCAAACAGCGACGACTGACATATATAGAAAGTGACCACGGAGGCTGATTGCTTTTGCTAGTGGATCGCTGGGCAGAAAGCCCAATAAAGCAATACCTTACCGCTGACTGGTTAATGTGTCCGTCCTCGCCATTTCAAAATCCAGCCTGATGAAAACGGATATATGTATGAGAATGTTGCCACAAACATCTCATGCTTTGGGTAACTCTGCTTCGCCTGTGAGAGCTGAGACAGCAGCTGTCCACTACTGTTGGCACGCATCATGAATGGCCTTATCTCGCATGCTCGGGCAGAAGGCAGGAAACCCTCTTCTTGGACCACGATGTCAAACGATCGAAAGTCTTGAAGGAGCGGAGCAGTGCAGCATAGCACATGCTCTCTATGCTCGGTAATTTATGTACTTAAGGGCCATATGGAGGTGAACTCGTCGCGATCAGGTTAATTCCCAAGGAGAAAATCCAGGAATCCATAGCCATGAAAGGCTCTGCAGAATGATTTCTCACACGATCACTGGGGTAAGAGTTTTTGGAAGCCTGTATGCAAAAAGAGCTAATGTGGATTCCCGCACCAGGCCCTCGTTCATTAAGGGAAGGAATATCAATCTTCAACTGAGACGAGATAGAAAATTAAATATTCAGCTGAGACGAAATAAAGATTCTGGTGCAAACGTGTATCAAGATTTTAGATATTTTTCCCGTAGTCTGTTGTTGAGGCCCAGGATGCCTCTTGGATAGGGGCCATCGGAGGCTGCTGACTAACGACGCTTGAGGCCCGTGTCGCCAGCCGTAACGAGTTACTACATTTCCTTACGCCACGGCGCGAGAACTTTTATTAAGTGGTTCTTCTACACGCGAATTATTGAAGCTCGTACATCAAATGGAAGGTCGCCTCTTCAACATCAAGCAGTTTTGAGCATTGAATTGTCACTCAACTTACTGTCTGATATCATCTACCTCCCAACCAAAGTTCCTATATTTGCGCCATATCTCCATCATGTAGGTTTGCTTGCCTCAGTGAGTTTGGTGGTGTAACCGCTATTGACCATTGCTCAGGGAGAGCTTCGAGAATATCTACCTCGATTTATCAAAACAACCAGGCAAATGTAAGCTTGCAGAGAGCGGCTTGGGTTGGCGACCATCAGGCGGCGGCGACACATTTACTCTTGACAGCAGCAATATTGGCGCAGCGCAATGGAGTCGAGCTGCCAAGGGTTATGAGCTGAAGATCCTCTCCCGTTCCTCGGGAGTCATTCAGCTTGATGGATTCGAGCAAGAGGTACGAAATCAAACTACGAAACTGTCGTGTTCGATTACCGTTAACCGCATCTAACACGGAGGTGACAGGATTTCGACCGAACAAGCAAAGCCTTCAAGATCTGGTACGGCATCAACATCGAAAACCGAGAACATGCGCTTCGTGGATGGAACTGGGGGAAAGCAGAATTCACAAAAGCAGAACTCACATTCAATGTGCAAAACCGACCCGCATTTGAACTCCCTTATTCGGAAATATCAAATACAAACCTTGCGGGCAAGAACGAGGTTGCTGTTGAATTTGCACTTCCTGTTGATGCCGTTAACGGAACGAACGGACAATCAGAGGGTAGCACGAAAAACAGAGGTCGGAAAGCTGGCGCCGGACGGGATGAGCTGGTAGAGATGAGATTTTACATTCCTGGCACAGCTCTTAAGAAGGAGAAACCAGAGGGTGAAGAAGGAGAGGGAGACGAGAAAAGCGTTCAAGGCGAAGAGGCAGAGGAACAAAATGCGGCAAATTTATTCTATGAGACTTTGATGGATAAAGCTGAGATCGGAGACGTTGCTGGAGATACATTTGCTACCTTTTTGGATGTGCTACATCTCACTCCAAGGTCAGAATATTCGCATTCCGCCTCTTCCTTGCAGGAATACTATTACTAACATACACACAGAGGACGATTCGATATTGATATGTACGAAAGCTCGTTCAGATTACGAGGCAAAACATACGACTATAAAATTCAGTACCAGTCGATTAAGAAATTCTTCCTTCTGCCGAAGAATGACGATACCCATACATTGATCACGTTAGGCTTGGATCCCCCACTTCGACAAGGCCAAACGAGATATCCATTCCTGGTTATGCAGTTGAAACTTGATGATGAGATCAGCATCGATCTAAATATGACTGAGTATACCACCAATCTCTCTCTATAACCATTTCCTCACAGGCCACACTAACACCTTACAACAGTGAATTGCTTCAAACCCGCTACAAGGACAAGTTGGAGGCCCATTACGAGGAACCCATTCATCAAGTTGTAACGAAAGTATTCCGCGGCCTTTCCGGGAAAAAGGTCGTCATGCCCTCAAGGGATTTCGTCAGGTCAGCAACCGCTTTGTCTCATACCCTTTCTGAGCATCGGAGCAAAAATTCAGGCCCACACTCAAATCATACCCAATCACCCAATGGACGTCATAGGCCGAAAGTAACTGACCCCAAGTCTAGTCATCATGGGCATTCCGGTGTCAAATGTTCCATCAAAGCGAACGAAGGGCTCTTGTTCTGCTTGGACAAAAGCTTCATGTTTGTACCAAAACCAGCGACCTACGTGCAAATTGAGAATATATCCGTGATCACCATGTCCCGTGTTGGTGGTGCGATCTCCGCTAGTCGAACGTTCGATATCACGATGACCCTTAAAGGGGGAATGGGAGAACACCAATTCAGCAATATTAATCGGTATAGCCCTTTCCGTGGCCACAACTCTGGCTGGAGTAGTCCTTCAATGAATGAATTACTGACAATGGGACAGCGAGGAACAACAACCCTTGGAAGAATTTTTCAAGGCGAAGAACATAAGATTTAAGAACGAAATGGCCGATGACGTAAGTTAAAACTTCCCCTCCTCGTCCCGATCTACTCTAATATAGAACGATATACTGACAATTTTTCCCAGTCATCCGCCCTTATCGCCGCCGCTCTCGACAATGAAGATGCCTCCAGCGACGAAGAAATGGCCGCCGGCAACGACCGTGGTTCCGCAGACGAAGACGAAGAATCTGTGGACGAGGACTTCCAAGCAGAGTCCGAGTCTGACGTTGCGGAAGAATATGACTCTGCGCACGAAAGCAGCGGTAGTGGAAGTGATGCTGAAGTAGATGACGGGGATGAAGAAAATGATGCCGCCGCTGATGAAGATGAGGACGAGAGACCGAAGAAAAAGACCAAGGTCACAAAATGAGCGTATGGGTCCGTGGGGCACGGAGGATTTGTTAACTTTATATCATCATTTTTTTGTTTTTCCCCCGCTTAATGCGATTTACTTACCGTTGATACGCTAATGAGACTTTGCTTTCATTTGCGGGACACCAAACTGGAAACTTTTTCCTAACTGATTGTCATTATGATAAGATGAAACCGGCGTGTTTGTTCTAAACGGGGGTTATCTTGAATCCGTTTTGCGCTGCCTTCACTTGATTTACGACTTTGCAAATATATAATGACTCTGGTATTTGTCCCATGTTCGTTTATGATGGTTTTCTTCGAAGCCGCAAAGAAATTGGTAATGTCTCCCTTATGACAAGGACGAAAGACCTTGGTTTCTGAGTCCTGTCTCTCGTGGCCCCCCTAATGCCTGATATATTTTCAACTGCCTCACTATTTGATATCACGTCACATGTCAGACCCTCAGCCACCAGTTTGTGGCGCAGTGCATACTTTCTGCATGCAAATGTTTCGGGTCCCCTTTAACATTTTCTTCTTTTGCTTGCCACGATGGACACGTGTAGAACGTTGGAAGGATGGTGACGGAATTGGGTCAATTTTTAAACGTGATGTTGCAGCTCATCTCCGGAGTATGAATGCACATTGTTGCTGAAGAACCAGCGGGTTGGAAATAATGGGGCGCAAGCTGACGGAGAGGCCGAGTGAAGTTCTAAGAAAATCTGCCGAAGTAGCGAGTTATCTAGGAGGGAAACTGCCATCCCGTTTATTATCCGATGGTGGAGCGAGGGTATGGATTTCGAATTGATCCAAGCGAAAAAGTTGAACTCAATGATTTAAAATGATTCCAAGGACCAAATAACCGAAACGTCAATGTCAATGTTAGGCCCCAAGTGGGTGGTGGTGTCCTTTGAGGGCACTTTGAAAATCTGGAATGCTAAATTTTTCCGACAAAAGAGGCAAACGGAACTAATGTTTCCATATCACAGCACAATCACCACATCTGGTGATGATGTGCATGTTGATAAGAGAAATGAAAATGTCATCAAGTGTTCTGTAAGGGTTCCAAGGTTTGCTGCCCTCTGCTAGCAACGCAACGGTGCTTGGTCCGCTTCCCTCCCCCTTAGGGATTCCCTTCCCGCTAGTTAAGCTCTTTTGAAGATCCACTCCGAAGTGGCCATTTGGATTGACAAGAAAGGGAAGGGTTGAGGAGTTGGGATGGGGGTGTGAAAGGACAGGGGCCAGTTCTGGATAATGACTGGCTGGAGGGCGAACCCTTCGCTCGATGTCATTTTGGTAACGTGACTTTGTGGTGGTGTGGAGCTCACATGAATTCATGGTCTTTTCTCGTGCCGGGTTTAGAGACATTTCCCATCATGTTATTCGGTGTGTTACCCATGTTAGGGTTAGAAACATCAGACCTTCTGTGAGTGTTTTTAACGGGCGGCAACATTGAGGGTTTCATGATGAAAGGAATGATAAATGAATTGAGTCAGGCAAGGCATTTTCACCCTAAATAGAACTTCATTGGAAATAGGTATTTACTTCGTAAACCATGGCGGTTCAAAGACCGGCTGCTGTCAGGCCACAGGAAACGGGCTGCACTTTTGGAGGGAGATGAAGATACAATACAACAGATAGAGCTTCCCAGAATTCATCGTCTACCATCTGTTTTAACTTGCATCCCTAACATGATTATTGGGTGTGGTTCTAGTAACACAGGAATATTATCAGGTATATAGGAGTTCAGAATCCATCCAAGACGAAGATAGAACCCCAGCCACATGTTGATGACTAACAGATTCAACCTTTCACTAGTTCTGGCAAATCACGTGGTTGACCGAACCAGCCAAACATCCATTCTGGTAAGGCTTGTCTTTTGAACTTTGACGCGATGAACCTGTCAGGAGATTTCCAGGGCTTGAACACCGCGACATTTTATCTATCGCCGTCAACTCAAAGAAATCTCACGACACACCCTCGCATTGACCACGCTGAAGTTGCTCTAAATCTCCTTTTCTCTTTCATGCCTCTCTGCTTTCTGATACCTCTTTCCATTTAACCACGTGTCTCATCATGCAAAGTCGAAGACATTGAATTTTTCGCGAAACCTTTTCCCTTAAAGACCACAACGGCAGTCTCCCCCAAAAGCTTCTAAAAGTTATCTTCGACTCTCACATGTTACCACTCTATCACGCTTGCATCTACAGTAATATAAACGAATCTCCCGCTTTCGTCCTCATCCTCCTTCGTGCCACATACTATCCTTCGCCATGGCGATCGAATACAGCAAGAAAACTAATGCAGAACTCATTGAGATCCTCAAATCCCACTCACTACCACACACAGGGAAGAAGGCAGACCTAGTCGCCCGATTACAAGAATGGGATAAGGCTGAAGCCGCAAAAGCAGCGGTCGCTGGTCCCGCAAAATCAGATGCGGTGGAGGATGTCATCGATTGGGACGACGATGCGACTACTGAAGCATCGGCACCTGTGAAACCAAGCAGCGCCACCGCAGCCCCCGCTCCAGGAAGCCATGTATCGACTACCACTCCAGCCCTCAAACAAAAAGTCGATGTCGCTCCCTCCACAACTGAGCATTCCAAAGCTGCCAGAAGTGAGGTCAAGGCGTCCGCACCAACTGCCCCCGGCGCTGTGGATCAAGATGCTCCCGCGGGGGCAACAAAACACACCGGTGAGCAGTCCGCAGAGAAACCCGTAGTGGACTACAGCATAGGACTGTCAGCCACAGATCTGGAAGTTGAACTCGCGAAACGTAAAGCTCGCGCTGAGAAGTTCGGGATAGTAGAGGATTCAGCAACCGCTCTGGAGCAAGCTAGAAAGGCCCTTGAGCGGGCGAAGCGATTTGGGACAGTTACGAAGGACGCATCCATTGTAAAGGGGTTGGATGAGGCGCTGCCGGACGGTCCAAGGAAAAGAGGTCGCGCGAATGATGATGGGCAAAGTGGCCGTGGTGGGAAGCGTCGGGATTCCAGACGGGGTAGAGGTCATATGGGAAGAAGTGGAGGTGGAGGCTATCGAGGACCGTCCCAACAAAAAGCGGGTGGGAATGAAAGTTCATGGAGCGAGCAGGATCGCATTGCGCTGGAAAGGAGGAAGAACCGGTTTGGGCAGGTTTAGAGAGCCGACTGCTAACTTGTCGTCTCCTCTTTTTTTTTTTTTTTTTTTTTTAATTTCTCGCATGTCGTTTCTATTGCCCTTGGTTTTTCTGAAGTTTCAGCTATTATCTTTTTGTCGTTTCTTGCCATTTTGTGATCTGTGACCCGGGAGTTTGCTGGCATGGGGATTCTTTCTGATAATAACTTTGTTGCTTTTTATTCTCACATTCTGAAGTCAAATGAAATCCATATTTTATCATTACTCTCCGTGTTTGCATTTCTGTTTTATACATTCCCTTCGTCCCCACTCCACCGTTACGCCCTTCGCGGCAGAGTTGATCGTTTTGAGAATTTCACACATTATGCAAGGCGCCCTAAAATGCAAAATGAAAAACAAAAGTTGTGTGAGAGGTATGTATATATAATATAATATATAAAGTAGAGAAGGAAAGGCTTTTTTTTTTTTTTTTCACACCCACGTATTATGTGGAAAGAGCAGCTGTAATGGGCATTTAGATGTGTTTGTTCAGATAATCCTGGTTATTCCATACCATGACATAAATAGGGCGAAATCCACCTGACCACCGGAGTAGCAAACAATCCATGAATCTCGAGATATTTTGGACGAAAATAAAAATAAACCTCCAGAACGCTCAAATGAGTTCATGCATTCCTTGGCTTTTTACCCCTCCTAATTGCATGACGCGGTGAGCGCCTTATTGTCTAAGCAAGGAAAACTTCGCCATGGAATCTGAGCTGCCTGAATGAACAGTGGACTTACATAAGCCCTGACTTTTCTCCTTGGGAAACTCACCAACCCCCGTTGGTTAGAGGTTCATGCAGGAGGAGCCAGCCCATTTGGCTTTATTATGAACTTGTTCTTACCAACACTTGCAGTGGGGATCAAGTTGAGCAGTCCCTACAGAGCTGAATTGTGCATGTATCCTGCATAAGTTCCTTGACCGTGGTTCACTGCAGAGCCACCCATGAATAATGGCCAGCCTGGGACTTCTGCAGCTTTAAGCGATCTATCGTAAGACGTAAGAGAATAGAGGAGAAACAAGAGAAGTTTCAACTGAAAGCTTATAGGATTAACACATCCGCTTTGACTAGTGAAAGCCATCAAGGACACAAGAGTATGGAGCGGAATTGGATTATTTATGAAAATATGAAAATAAATTTACAACGAATCCCAGTTCTTTTCTCATATAACCAAGAGAAACAAATTTTGAATCAGCAATATTCCTCACGGTTCGTGCTACACGAGCAATGATAAAGGCTTGTTGGCGCCATTCCAATACTGACATTGGCGGACAATAAGATTGAACCCACAGTGTCTATTTTTAGTTTAGCAAATGGAAACGTTGGAATTGAAGAAGTGAGTACGCAGTGTAAGGCATTATTATTGTATTCCTCTTCTCCATGCGAAGGAAGAGCTCTCTTCCATCATTTAACCAAGGTCGTTGTTAGCTAGTTAACTTGTCATCAGTAGCCTAGTTGCTGGACAAGTTAACCCACCCCACGTTAAATCTCCTGGTGAAAAACGGTTGCGAAGATTTGGTGTAAAATGTGGCAGAAATTTGCCTTCGCCGAAATTCTCATATCGATAGGGTAGCAGCCTCTGATATTATTTGACTTTGGATCAGCGGAAATATTGCTATCTAGAAATCAAAATGAAAAGTGTTTCTTGCTATTAGCGTCGATGTCATATAGGAACCGGGTCGACTGTGCTTGGATTGGGCAACGACGAGAAACTAGCAATATAAAAATGCCTGTCAAAATCATAGCTCCTTTTACGCTTCATGATTCTCCTAAATAAAACTCGATAGAATGTCCACCCACTGGTGTCAATCGTTTGTAGTGGACGCCCGCAGTAGGCCTTCTTCATGAGAAGGACCGGATTTGAATTTGAGCCTTTTGCGGAGAATGTCTTGAAATATCGGATCCCAGCGAGAGCCACTAATTAGCAAGAGTTGCATTCGCGCCACGCTAACTCTGAAATCCCTTGATCCTTGTCTGCGAATCATCGAGCCGTTTGGCTGCTTCGTGACGCAATTGGCCGTAGGCAAAACGAATGGATAACCTTCAACCATCATAAGATACGCATGAGAAACATTCTCCCTTGTCGCGTAGCCTGGTATCGGTATGACATGCATATCCCAGGTATAACTGTTGACAGTGCTCATCAGAGTGGGATTTCAAAAATGTGAGATGTTTTAGATGATGAATCCATTTTTTCACTTGGTTATCGATAGGGATCTGAGGGAGAGGGAGGGTTTAGCATCTCCCAAGTCGTCTTGTTGTGTTTGATATCCGGTGCAGACGGACTGTGCAAGAGTAGCAGCGTAGCATAACTGGCTGGTTACTGACCCTTTTAGATTTCGTGAAACTGATTGGCAGACGGAGGATTCTACAATTAAAGAGATCATCACAGAATATTGGGTTGTTGATGGCACGGCACGTCTGATGGTCTATGTCAGGACGCTCTCATGGAGTCCTCCTACTCTGCGCTGACCGCCGATAGGTAAAATGAAGATGACTACTTGATCATGTGGGCGGGGAATGGCGAAGTTTGGGGAACGAGAGCCTGTGGAAGAGCGTATATGTCTCTTTCGTACCCTGGACCTGTGACTGGCGACAAGCAGCATGAATGGTCAAGGCCAGCAGGACACAAACCAGAGGCGCTGAAATTGGCTGAGAGACAATGAAAGAAATGGTTATCGTCATGGACCCCTTGGACGCTGGATGTTGCCATGTTCCTTATTTGCTGGGGATCATAATAGCCTTGTGGCAGTCAAACCACATGATCTAGCTAGCCGACTGTTTCTTTAACGAGCACAACATCAGAAAGCTGAGATCAATGATACTTTATCCGCAACCTGTGGTCATTGACTGGCTGCGACAGAGTCGACTCCACCTCAAGATCTCTTGCATTGTGATTGAATAATAATCATAGCTGTTTGAATGAGGGATTAATATGTCGCATCTAATAAATGGTGATTTTTGCCGTGTCCACTACAGTAACTACCGCTGTGAGCATATCAGAACGCTGCAATCCCGATGTCCAGCTTCCTTAATACCTTGCAGATGCCTCACTCAGGCCAGTACTGGCCAGTCTCGAGGAGTTTAGTCAGGTTAGTCCGGTGGAGACGCCTCCCCGTGACTCGCCACCTCCAATAAGCCCAGGCCGTCAGACAAGAAGTCTTCTTGTTAGCGGAAGCCCCCCTTAGCCGTGCTCCGTACCGCACCGCTATCCGCAACTCTCCTTTTGACTGATTGAAGGAGCTAGGTCCCGCTAACCAGAGTCTTCCCAGTCATTCTCGCCGGTTGCTCAGACTGAGACTCCGTCGATGAATGCCCACAGGCGCCCGACTTCTTTGCACCCCTGTCTGGTCCTTGACCCGGAGCCTAGGGGTACAATGTCCCCTTGTGGACCTTAAAGAGAAGTCGACAGCACTTCTGCGTTCTTGTTCCTACGTTTATTTTCTTCTTTTTTCACCTTTTCTGTTTTCCAAGAGCTTGCTTCTTGAAGTTTTTTTACTACCATTTTGGCCAACCTGTCGCCCTGGGACCGCACTCTGCATAATGATGGCGCTTGGTGTCTGATCATTGACGTGGCCGTCCTCGAGTCGCTCGCCTTGTAATCTCCACAGGCCCTGCCACATTTGTTTAGCCACAACTCGCTGCAATTAGGCCCTAACCGCCCCGCTGTGTGTGGCGAAGTTGCATATATGCAATATTTTTGTCCAAGTGCCTTTGCTTGTTTGCATTGAGTATCTAGTACAGCAAGTGTATCTGACGACAATTAAAACTCTTTTCATACGAGAGTTTTTCCAGATATATATTTTCTTTAAAGTGTTCATTTTCCCCTTTATTTGTTTCTATATTGTTAAAATAACCTGCTTTCAATCCTGTATAATTAGTTGTATCTATTTCCCCTTTCTTAAAACCCATGTATTTTGCGGCACAACCACCAAGGATATCAGTTCTTCCGATGATTGATTCTCATATCGCAAAGTAAGAAGGGATGGGAAAAGACAAGATCTGACTGTAAGTCATCATTATCATGGCAATATTAAATCCCAGTTCTCCTTGAGGCCTATCTTTGACCTTGATGCAGATCTATATGGATGTCGTTCCCATGTCGCTCCTAGGTTTCCATCTGTTATGATTCTGGGACCTCCTGGACACTTAACAATCTTTCGTCAGGTCGGTTCCCCATACGGGAAAGGGTTTGAACTCAGGTTGCTCCATGACGTCCCACAAATTTGATCGTGGGCGGAGTCTAAGACAGGAGGAAGTGACGGATCCTCCTCAGAATGTCCTATCGTCTAGGATTCCGGGTGTACCGAATTCCAACCAGTATGTTTCTACGGCGACTAGATCCCAGGTATCCAGGCCATCTCTACCTTCTAGAAATAGACGGGGATCGTCCGTATCTGTAGGCGAGGAAGCAAATCGAACGCGGATTCCGATACCCCACAGGACAAAAATTTCGTCAAAGGAAAATGACCGGTCAATAGGAATTCCCCAACCCTCAAAAACTGGCTCAGCTCTGGCACCCAGCCCAATACTATTGATGAGCAAGATGGCTTCGCCTGCGCATCTTCAATCGAAGCCAGATTGTGCGGTATCTGCTAGGGCTGGAAAGTCTTCAGCAGAGGGGCGGTCCCGAAATGTTTTGCGGAGAAAAGCTCCCTCAATAGAACAGTACACTGGGCGAAGTAGGGCAAAATCAAATCCGTCAAAGTCTGGTGCTTTTGGACCGAACACTTCTCTATCGAATATGGAAGATAGCAAGGCATTGAACTTAGAACCCCGTTCCTTAGGAGAACCTCAGAAGAGTATCAGCCAGGGTCAAGCGCAGCAGGCGCCACCCCTATCAGTGCCTCTACCATCAACAATTCAACTGCAGAGCAGGACTGGCGAAACCTATGTCACTCATGTCCCAAAAGAAATAACTGGACCCACAAGAGCTGTAAATACAACCAACCTTCCACCTCCAACCCCCAATTTTGCCTCCACCAGCAGTCCTTCCACTAGATGCTCCGAATCGCCTGGGCCATGGAGTAGTAGGACGTCCACTCCAACATCAATGTCTTCATATTCTCCTGGAATCACACAGCCAACAAAGGTTGGATCCCGATTACGACAACCGAGTCCATCTATGTCTAGAAGCCCTTTGCCTCGACAATCCACTGCCCCTGTCCCTGCAGCTGTCACCATAAATAAGGACGCGATGGCGTTTTATCCAAGAACACCACGTAAAAGTCAGACTCATCCTCCTTTGGCATCAACGAAAGCTGAGAAGCCTGAAAGGCACTATGTTGTTGAGAAACAAAAGAAATTTGATGTTCCCTCTGATGTTCACCTGCCTCTAAAATCGTCCATTAAGTTCAATTCTGCGAAGTCAAAGGAAGACGATGTCACTCCAAAGCCCAGTGCCGACTCAAACAAGCAGGAAGAAAAGCAGAATATCGAACCATGTCAAAGCAAGTTTGAAAAGGCTTCTCGTGTCCCCCTTCCGGCGTCGACCCTCCCGCCATCTAGGCCTAGTCGTGCAGGTACAAGTGGCCTGGAACTCAAACCCTCTCCAGTAATCCAGAGTAACATCACCAACCTGAAACACTTGGGACATAAACGACAAGCATCTAGCGACCACACATATCGCAAGCATAATCCCACTCGCCATATCAATTCATCAACGGAATCGCTACAGTCAAAAGTTTCAACCCCGATAACTAATCGATATGTGTCCCCTTATTCCGCTAGCGGCCAGAAATTGTCAACAAAGGATTCGTTATCTCACACGAAAGTAGTTGCCAAAGACTCTAAGAAGCCCAAAGAATCTGCATCAACATCTGGCACAAGGCGGTTTGGAATATTTTCCAGGAAAGCAAAGACAGATCCAGAAGTTAATGCGCCCGATGGTAAGGATAAGCCCAGCCGACGCGGACCAGCTGCAGGAACAGGCCATGAAGGGTATGGAAGGTACGCCCAACGTGGCCGAAGATCCAGTATAAGCAGCGTTAACGGAAGAGCAAGATCCCTAAGCACGGCTGTTTCGACGAGAAAAGGCAGCAATGCTAGTCGAACAGAGTCGGAAATGGATGACTTCTTGCTAGATCGTCTCGAGCCGGTCATCATCAGTGGAGGAGGCGTGGATGGAGAAGAGCTACGTCGAACCCAAAGCGAACAGAGCGCAAGTGGTGTGAGCGTCGCCTCAACAATATATTCACAGCCGAGCGTGCAATTTTCGAAACCCGTCGGAGACTCTTCTGAATCGCTGGCCTCACACGAAACTTTTGACCCTTTGCTTCAAAGACTGAACCAAAAGGAGAAGAAACCCGGCTTAGTTAATTGTCGTTCTTTCGGCAAGCCACAGGCTTTTGGAGCTAAGAAAGACACGACTGCGCAACTATCTGTAAATACTGATGTGCTAACATCACGACCTTCTATTGACAGTTGTAATACCAGCCAAACATCTTTTTCCCAGACCAGCGTGTCTATTGCTATGAATGATCGAGTTCAGGACAAAACGGACGTGAAGAAACCCGACAAGAGAGGAAGGTGGAATTTTTTTCAAAGAAGCCACCACACCTCGCGAAAGGGGTCCACTCCTCAGCCAAGCTCAAGCGCTGAAGTACCGGTGGCAATATCTAAGCTTCCTTCTAGGCAAATTGCTCACTATGCCCTTCTCGAGGACGAATACATCGATTCAGAGTCTCTCAAGGAAATTTTTCAAAGAATCGAGGAATCACCGCCAACGGAGGAGGACGATCAAACTGAAGAAGTTCCTCTTGGGCTTGGATTGAAACAACCGCACGGCCATTCTGTTCTGCTTCCATCTCCACCTCTCTTAGGTGGATACACTTTTGAAAAGCCTCAGTCATCACCTCCAAAGGTATTTTTCAATAAAAATATCTACGGAGATAAACCCAAAACAGATGCTCAGCCGAGATCTGACGATGTTCGACAACAACAACAACAACGACGACAACGGTCTAATCGACTCGCACCAGTTGGACGAATTCCCCAGGTTGTCTCCAGCCGAGAAGAGCAAGCAACCTCACCTATCCCTTCATTTTCTCGCCCTTTCAGTAGGATTGAAATCCCTTCCTTAACCTCCACAGCCAATTCCCAACCTACACTGTTTTATAATCCTGGTCGCCCTCCCACAGGTTCTCAGACGGAAGTTCTCCCAAGCGAGGAGTTCTATCCAGGGTCCGCAATTTTATATCCCTCTGCCCAAGTCTTGTCTGGTAGCAATTCTAGCTACAACCGAAAGGATCACGAATTTTTGGCTTTCCCTAGGAGGAAATCAGTCACTTCGGGATCCAGCAGCTCAGAGGGCCGTGTGAGCCTAACTGCGATAGCTGCCGTAGAGCCACGACTATATTCAAAACTAAATGAAGATGAGATTTGGAACGAATATGATGAGTTTATCGATACGGTGCTGTCTCCTAAATCGCCTCATAAAGCTAGAAGGTCGACTCCTTCCCAAAAGTCCTTTAAAATGGCCACCCGTGCCAGCAAGACCCTTCAGGAGGAACTTAACGGACTAAGCAACACCAATTATCTTCTTGCCAGCCCTTCTGAATATTCAAACTTGCATCGATCAATGTCCTCTGCAAGGTCAAGCGGTAGCTTGGTCCACCTGCGTAGATCCATGATACTCTCAGCTCTTCATTCGTCCATGACTCCATCCACCACCGTGTCCTTCATCGATCCTTACGGTCGTTATAACAATAAGAATAGTGCAGAGTTGGTCAACCAGGGCGATTTATTGCACGTCCGACAGGCGGGTTCAGAATCGGATACGATTAGAGAATCTTCATTTTCCACGCCTAGGAACAACGAGGCGGGTCGTCGTAAAAATACAATGCTTCTAGATATAGCAGAGCGGGACAGGAACGGTACAATCGCACAAACAAACCTTCGTTCAGGCTCCCTCATGACAAGTCGTTGGTTATCATTTGGACGAGTACTTTTCAGCCCGGCACATAATCACCTTCAAGAACAAGATCAAGATCGAGGCCGAGTTCTTGTTATCGATGGGCTGGGAAATGACGATTGGTCATTTTACTGTGCCCTGACCTATCCCTCTGCGACTGTGTATAGCCTTGGATTTTTAGCGCCTTCCGCCAGTTCCAATAATCCTGCAGCTTGGAAACCTCCTGCTAATCATCGAACTATCCACCATGATGATATGGAAAATCCATTTCCGTTTCCGAAGGGCTTTTTCATTGCATCAGTTATTCGATTCCCAGCAGCATGCTCTGACGCCGGATTGCGAGCTACTATCTCGGAGTGCAAGCGCGTCTTACGACCGGGTGCCTATCTTGAAATGAATATCATGGACCTTGACATGGTGAACATGGGGACTAGAACTCGAAAGGCTGTTCGCATGCTCAAGGAACGTATATGTATGGCAGATCCAAGCATAAGCCTCAAACCAGCAAGCGATAACATTCAGAGGCTACTCGGAAAGCGAGGGTTTGAGAATTTGAATCGATGCATGGTTGGCATACCAGTTGCGGGTACTCTTTTGAGTTCGTCTGATACGTCCAGTTCCAGCCGGTCAACCATCGCAACACTCCCCACACCGACAAATCCCTATGGGCTTAATTCTGCGTCTACCACTAAAGGTAACCGTAGATCGAGACGACCTCCATCGGATGACCCCGGCGTTTCTCTCGGTGATCTTCTTTCTGACTCAAACCCTTCCGAGTCCAATGATGAATCCATTGCCAAAATGGTAGCCAAAGTTGCCCGTTGGTGGTATACTCGCTGCTACGAGGCTTTCATACTCCCTGACGGAAACCCGGATTACAGTATCTGGGCTGATAGGAGGGTACTTCGAGAATGCCAAAGGCGTGGAACGGGTTTTCGGTTATTGATTGCTTATGCGCAAAATCCAAGTGGACCTAGAAGGACAGCAAGTGTTTGAAAATTTGAGAACAAGGTGGGAGTTATGGATTGTTAGGGTGTATTTTTATGCGAAGTCTTCTGGATTTACCTTCCCCGCAAGCTTCAAATGCCGACAATCCAGAGGACGAAATTCCTTCAGCACCCTAGGGGAGCGTTTTTATCATGATCAATATTTATTTAACGACAGAACCATGATATCCTTCATACAACCTTATCCTTTGTCCCTTTATCGATCTCAAATACGACTACAGATGTTGAACGCTATTAAAGGTCTTTCTCACCTTTTTGTCTATATGAGAGAGAGAAAAAGATATAAACAGATAAGACAGGGCAACCAATCCACAATGCCAAATTTAAACGAAGATTTCCCAATCGACCTCGTGGTCCAACTCCTCTTGACGTTTTGTATATTTTTTCTTCCAAGTGTTTTAACCTTTTTCCCTTCTTACGACTGGCCTCGTTCTATTCTCTTATGTTATTTGCTTTTTTTTATCTATACGGGAGTTTATTTATATATATATATTTATATTTATTTATTTATCTCTTCATGTATTACGGCGGCAAGCGTTGAAATGATGTTTTGTGATACCAATATCTTTAATGATTATTTCACTCATGACTCGGGACGTTTCATATGATTTTTGGATGATTTTTGGATGATTTTTGATGCTATTTCCTTTTCCTTTTCTTTTATCCCCCACTCTATATATTAATGCCTCCTATCATGTATCTACGTATCAGGGTATGAGAAACACGCTTATTATGATTATGTCTATATAATTGAAGGTTTAGTTCCATTGATATCCTAACTTCTTTCAAAGAGAATAGAGAAGTCTGATACCTTCAATCTCTCAAGCACTGATTGATGCTCATGACGTAGGAACGGGATAACTGACATGATCCTTCTTCACCTTAATCCTATTTCTGGGTTGCATACAACGGCCTTTTTGCTTTTTGACCGTTATCCAACTGACTGGAATATTTAGTTCTGTTGTAATTACGTGGGCAGTTCTGTGGTCTCTATGAATGAATGCATTTTCAATCAAGTTACGCTCGGATTCCTAACCATTCGAATAAAGGAGCCTGTCTTTAAGCGAGAAATATGTCTTTCTTCCCCTATTATTGATGTAGTTACTAATGTCCCTTTGAGCAACAATGGCATCAGAGTCACGTGTTAGCCTTGCAGACCGCCATTCCCTTTGTGGCAAAATGCGAAAATTCGGGTTATTCAGCAATTGATTTTAAGCCTCCGAAAACATGCGACATTCGGTTCTCAGCAACAACAGAAAACAGCAAAGAGAATAGCTGTTGCCATCCCCATCAGTCCGTATCTGGTTGTATCCTACCGCCTATTATTCATGCTAGCCCGGAGTGATCTCTTTTAGCTGGATCTGAACAATCCCTTGGACGCAAGCATGTCTGACGGTATGCTAACCCCCACGCTTGATGCCTATGTGCCACAATTAACTTCTCCATTTCTAGCCGACTTCGAGGCCATAAGGCGCCTTCAAGCAGAGCGAAATGCTGCAGCCGCGAGCAAAAAAGGTTCTAAGACTTTCGATGCATCCAGCCAACGAACTGACGTTTCGACCAAGGCTTCCCTGACTGAATCCTTCGATACTACCCTCTACGATCGCAACGGAACAGACAAATATGCAGAATATAACACTTCCATTCCCGCCAACGGCGAAGATGAGGAAATAGAGGACGGAGATGGAGGGTACCGTCTGACCGGACAGTATACGGCGACAAGGGAGCAAATGAATGAATTTGCTACCGGGAAAGGCGTGGAGGAAGAGGACATCCTCCTGGGACGTGAGAAATCCTCTAGGATTTCAGAGCGTGAAACTGATTATCAAAAGCGACGATTTAACCGTGCACTTACCCCGACGCGCGCCGATCCTTTCGCTGCAAATGGGAATGAAGAGGTAGAAGGTCAAACTTATCGAGATGTAATGGCTCTTCGCGAAATCGAAAAGGAGGAGGAGCGGGTCAAAAAGCTGATCGCGGACAAACAAGCTCAAGGCCAACAAAATGGATCTATTGAACATAAACCAACTTTGCAGTCGGAGGAGACTGGTAAAGAAAATTTGGAAGCGGGTTCTACTTTGGCAGTTGTTTCGGGGAAAGAAAAGAAAACAGAGATGGGACGTGTCTTCAGAATCGACTAGTGCTCCAAGTGGTGACCAACCGACTGAAGTGAAACCGAAAAGATCTAGATGGGATCAAACACCTGTACCAAGCGCCCCAGAAGAGGCTCCCAAACGTCGGTCAAGGTGGGATCAAGCGCCATCTCTTGTCACAGCAACACCTGTCGGTAACGAAGGTCTTGCGACCCCAATGCATCCTTCCCAGGTGGCTGCACCTGTGGTGCAACCGGCATTTGGTACTGATATTTCGGGTCGAAACACACCTTTGTCTGATGAAGAGCTGGATTTGATGCTCCCTTCCGAGGGATATAAGATTCTTGAACCTCCGCCTGGGTATGCGCCCATTCGAACTCCAGCCCGAAAGTTAATGAGTGCTCCAGCGCCAATGCCAAGTGTCAGTGGGTTTGGGGGATTCATGATGCAAGAGCCCGAGAATGCCCGTGTGATGGGAAAGCAGCTCCCAACAGATATCCCAGGTGTTGGCGATCTGCAATTTTTCAAAGCGGAAGATATGCAATACTTCGGCAAGCTTGTCGATGGAGCAGACGAGAATACCATGTCAGTTGATGAACTAAAGGAACGAAAAATTATGAGATTGCTCTTAAAGGTCAAGAACGGCACCCCTCCAATGAGGAAGACCGCCCTTCGACAACTTACCGACAATGCTCGCCAGTTTGGCGCAGGGCCTCTTTTCAACCAGATCCTTCCATTACTCATGGAAAAATCGCTCGAAGACCAGGAGCGACATCTGCTGGTTAAAGTTATTGACCGTGTACTCTATAAACTCGACGATCTTGTTCGTCCCTATGTTCACAAAATCTTGGTTGTTATCGAACCCCTCCTTATTGACCAAGATTACTATGCTCGCGTGGAAGGTCGGGAGATTATTTCTAACCTTAGCAAAGCCGCAGGACTTGCCCACATGATTAGCACCATGCGTCCTGACATTGATCATGTTGACGAGTACGTACGAAATACCACTGCAAGAGCCTTCGCTGTTGTTGCATCTGCACTTGGCATCCCAGCCCTCCTCCCTTTCCTAAGGGCTGTATGTCGTAGTAAAAAATCATGGCAGGCAAGGCATACTGGCGTTAAGATTGTGCAGCAAATTCCGATTCTCATGGGATGTGCAGTTTTGCCGCATTTGCAAGGCTTGGTGGATTGTATCGGGGACAATCTCAGTGATGAACAAGCGAAAGTCCGCACCGTTACTAGTTTGGCCATTGCTGCTCTTGCTGAGGCAGCAAATCCGTACGGTATCGAGAGCTTTCAAGATATCTTAGGGCCTCTTTGGACAGGTGCAAGAAAGCAACGTGGCAAAGGACTCGCTGGCTTCCTCAAGGCTGTCGGTTATATTATCCCGCTCATGGACGAGGAGGGTGCAAACTACTTCACTAGCCAGATCATGGAAATTCTCCTACGGGAGTTCTCTTCTCCCGATGAAGAAATGAAGAAGGTTGTCCTAAAGGTCGTATCCCAGTGTGCTGGAACAGATGGCGTCACAGCCGCTTATCTAAAGGAGCATGTGCTAACTGATTTCTTCAAATGTTTCTGGGTACGGCGCATGGCGCTCGATAAAAGAAATTACCGACAAGTTGTGGAAACGACAGTTGATCTGGGACAAAAGGTCGGAGTAAGCGAAATTGTGGACAAGATTGTTAACAATTTGAAGGACGAAAGTGAGGCATATAGAAAAATGACAGTGGAAACTGTCGAGAAAGTCGTAGCGTCCCTTGGTGCGGCGGATATTGGTGAAAGGCTAGAGGAGCGGCTTATCGATGGTGTCCTCTTTGCTTTCCAGGAACAGAGCGTCGAAGATATTGTCATACTGAACGGGTTTGGCACTGTTGTGAATGCACTTGGTACCCGCTGCAAACCATATCTACCTCAGATTGTCAGTACGATTCTCTGGCGCCTGAATAACAAGTCAGCAACTGTCCGTCAACAAGCAGCAGATCTGATATCTCGCATCGCCATGGTCATGAAGCAATGTGGTGAGGATGCTTTGATGGGTAAGCTCGGTATAGTCCTTTACGAATATCTTGGCGAAGAGTATCCAGAGGTGCTAGGTTCCATTCTTGGAGCCTTGCGGTCTATTGTCACGGTTGTTGGTATCAATCAAATGCAGCCGCCTATCCGGGATCTCCTTCCACGTCTCACTCCTATATTACGAAATCGTCACGAGAAAGTACAAGAGAACACGATTGATTTGGTGGGTCGTATTGCGGATCGAGGCCCCGAATCCGTCAATGCCAGAGAATGGATGCGAATCTGTTTTGAGTTGCTTGATATGCTCAAAGCTCATAAAAAGGGTATTCGTCGCGCGGCAAATAACACGTTCGGTTTCATTGCGAAAGCAATCGGTCCTCAGGACGTCCTCGCGACTCTTCTCAACAACCTTCGTGTCCAGGAACGTCAATCCCGGGTCTGTACAGCTGTTGCAATTGGCATCGTCGCGGAAACTTGTGCACCCTTCACCGTTCTCCCCGCGCTGATGAACGAGTATCGTGTACCTGAACTTAACGTTCAAAATGGTGTTCTCAAGGCTATGTCGTTTCTCTTCGAGTATATTGGCGAGATGGCGAAAGATTACGTTTACGCTGTTACTCCACTCCTTGAAGACGCATTAATAGACCGCGACCAGGTACACCGACAAACAGCTGCTAGTGTGGTGAAACACATTGCCCTTGGTGTTGTTGGCCTTGGATGCGAAGATGCAATGCTGCATCTACTCAATTTGCTCTATCCGAATCTTTTCGAGACAAGTCCTCACGTTATTGATCGTATAATCGAAGCTATCGAGGCAATCCGCATGGCTGTTGGAACCGGCATTGTGATGAACTACGTTTGGGCTGGCTTATTCCACCCTGCAAGAAAAGTACGACAGCCTTATTGGAGGCTTTACAATGATGCATACGTTCAGGGGGCAGATGCGATGGTGCCATACTATCCCACCCTTGAGGATGAGGGTTTGGCGAGGCATGAGTTGGCGATTGTTCTGTGATTATCGAAATTGTTTTGTTTTAACCTTTTGGGGTGGGCGTTTTTTTGATTATATCTAGCCTGTAATCTCACACTTGAGTTCCTTTTATCTCTGGCTTAATATTTCTACCATATGCGTTTCTTTTGAACTTTTTTTCTCTCACTTATTTGCGGCATGCGTTCAGCGGGTTGGTTGTCCATTTCTTCACCTGTTCATTTTCTGTACTTTTAATGATATTTCTGATTTAAAAGCATCGCCGTTTTCTTCAATCTCAAAATTGATGGAGAGATAATTCCATAGTATTTTCGTGACGGGTCCAACCCCATGGCAAGCAGAGAATTCGAAGGTTGTGCGTGTGTTATTACGGCTACACCTCGAGGTTGCTGGATAGGAGATATTCTGTAATTCCTCCTTATCTGTAGGCATAGCTGCGTCCTATATACCCTGGGTGAACCCTTCAAGCAAGTCCAGGAAATCCGCCCTATACATGAAAGCAAACGATAGATTCAGCTACAGGATGTCCAATTCTAAAACACAGGTGGCTCCAAGGATCCTCTGTTGGCTCCATGAAGCCCAGCCCATCGCCACCTCATCCGCGTTGTATGCGTGTTTTATATTTAAGGACGGCCAACACAAGTCTATATATTGTAGGGGAACAATTGTGGCTTAAAAAGGATGAAAGCATCCAAACTTCAATAGTTCCAGCGGGTGGAAGCCGAGAGTTGTTGATACACCGCTGCCAAGTAAGTAGGTTTTATCTCCAAAACGTCCTACAAAGTCAGGTTGTCAAAGACGCCGAGAGCTAACCGACAAACTACGCAGAGTTTTCTTAAATTGGAGGGATGCAGAACATGAATACAAGAATGATGCAGAGCAAAGACCTGTCAACATGAACAACAGGTATTATAAACGGCTTTCTTTCTCTAAAGGTCAAGGAGAAATTCATCAAATGATCCTTTATATTTTGAATGTTCTTGCGTGTAAGGTAAAGAGAAAAGAGTATTAACATCAATAAGGAAATTTGTATCCACTAAATTAAAATTGAGAAAATTAAACAATATGTAAGCGAGTGAAAGAAATTATTAACGGCCAATTAAAAAGTGCAAATTGGAAGTAAACGATGCACTACCTGACGGGGTAGTCAAAGATGTGACAATGATGCTTTGGTGAATGTGTGGTTCAGAATGCCATGGCCTTCTACCGTCGCCTCCCAATAATTCACCGCATTGCCACTGATTTAGCGGGCACCTGTAGCTAAGGAGGTGATGATATATAGACTGCTGTTGTGGGGAAGCAGGGAGGGCATTCTGCGGAGGAAACCTGGTTAAAACTAGGTCCGAGCGTTGCCATACAAGCATTAATAGATGCGAGGCACAGCAATATATAAGAAAAGAAGAAATGTAACAGGAGAGTCAGGGTTAAAAGCGAGGGTAAACCCAGAAAGGGCGAGCCAAACAAGATAATCCCCATGACGTAGGAAGGAAAAAAGATCAAGGGCGGCTTACAATTATAACTGCAACCAAGATAAAAACGAGATGACATCGAATATACCGTGGTATCAACCAAAGAAAGGAACAATGGGTAATGAAAGTTCAAGATAACGGAAGAAGACACAACCTGACATAAGAAAACGAACCGCGATGGAAGCGACCTGACCTGGTCTAACGAGGGTATACATTTGAAAAGAAAAAATTGAAATCGTCTGACCCCTCACGTAAAAACGAGCACCTCTATCAAGAAAAAACGTAAAACAACAAATATCCTAAAGTACGGCCCCCTGGTCTGGTGCAATACCCTTCCTGTGTCATCTGTAAAAAATAAAAATAAAAATATAAAATATAAAAAAATATAAAAAAAAAAGTCAAGACCAAGGACCAAAAAAATTGAAGGGAAAAAAAACCTCACTGGGGGTATCTTTTTGATTCCAGCTGCGAAATTTCGAATCAAAATATTCGAGGTGGATGAAGATAAGAAAGAAAGAGAAAAACCTATAATACAGCATTAAATGATGTTTGTTAGACACGAATAGAAGAATCGCGCCAGGAAGAGTCGTAGATGGCAGAATTTGGTGTTGCGAGTGCCGTCTCAAGCACTGATATAAAACAAAAGAATTACAGTTAAAAAGGAACCACGTCGGTTTGCTGCGTTTATGGCAGCACCATGAGAAGAGGTAAACGTAAATTGCAAAATATTCGAAAGCAGGGCAAATCCAAACAGCCATTTGCGCAAGGAGGGTTTCATTCTTGCTGTTGTTCCGGCGACTGAGACTCTTTTTCGCCCTTGTGGACTTTGTTATGTCGTCGAAGATTCGATACAACAGAGAAGTGACGTCCACACCCTGGAAATTCACAAGGGAAGGCTGTCAATCACATGGGCTTACATCAGTATGATTCCACACACATATTATTATCATGAGAGATTTGCATATATATCATATATATTTTTGATGAACTTACGTTTTTCGCCTGTGTGGCTGTACATGTGCGTTTGCAGGGAAGAAGGACGGGTGAATCGTTTATCGCAAATTTTGCACTTGTGCTTTTTTTGCGTGTTCGATGGGATTTTCGAACTGAACTGGCCCATCATCGACTGTGGCCCGGGTATGGCACCGTGTATGAGACCTGACGGTCGAGGAAGGGTTCGCGATGGCATGGCATCATGGGATTCTGAAGTTGTAGAGCTATAGTCGGTGACGGAAGAATCGACAGAAACAACAGACGCACTGTAATATGGACAATTCCCCGCTGAAGAAATTGATGAAGCGGATGAATGCGCGGACGTAAAACAGTAGGCCTCTCGAGATCCCCTGATATTTTGAGGTCCGTAGATATTTCGAGGAGTTGCCAGATCCTGACTCAGCGCGACCATGCCGCGACTGGCATCTAGGGCATCGCCATATGTGGAGGATGGTAGTGTTTGCGACGGTGAAGTTTGCGCAGGGGGCTCATTTCTAAATACCAAATTAACATTTCGTGTCTCGCCTTTACCGGCTAAACTTCATTGTTATAGGGAGACCTTCGGCAAGGGGAAAGTGAAAGCCTCAAAACTCACCCTAGAGAGATGTTTCTTCCATTTGCGTGTTGTTGTTGTTGCTGCTGCTGCTGCTGATGATGATGATGATGCTGCTGCTGTTGCTGTTGCTGTTGCTGTTGGTGCAACGACTGTCCATAGTCCATGGGAGGGTAGTTGGTCGGGGTGAAAGAATTTATCGGGGATGCCGACGTGTAGCCCTGAGGTTGTTCAAAGTTTGTCCGCGGAATCTCCGGGGCCATAACGATAAGCTGCTGCTCAGAACAGCTGTAGGCAGAAGGAGCAGGATTGTAGCTGCTGCTACTTGTGGTCATTGATGGGGCAGATGCAGGCACACTTGCGTATGGCAAGGAGATGGCTGTAGGTCGGGAGACCTCATCCCGCTTTACGATCGGATTCACCACGACAGAGCTTGTGGGAATAGATGTAGAGTAGATTGGTTGCGGAGGATGGGAAGATGAATGCGCGGCCCAGGCGTCATTGAATTGCGGAGGGCCTGCGTGAACATGGTTATGATACGCATTGCTGTAGCCCATACCGCCGCCGTACTGGCGGTTTTGGTTTTCAAGAACCATAGTCATGGAGAAGGCTGGCCGCGGTGGCAGGGTTGCAAATCGCAATGGCCAGGATGCAAAGAGCGGGCGCAGGTCTGAATGACAACAAGAGAGGAGTAGTTTCAGGTGGACGATCAATTGACCGGTGGAGCTCTTTTTCTCCTTGGTTTCTTTTTTTCTCTTCTAATGTTGCCGATTCCTCACAAGCTCGGGCGGTTATCTCTGGGTGATGTGCAGAGGCCCCTCGCCCATGTGAAGCACGAATTTAGGCCGATAAATGACAATCTGTATGTCGGACTACAGGAGAAAGTGGCAGAACGAGGAGAAGATAGAACGCATGTAAGCATGTAGGAAGCCGGTCCAGGAGAATTTAGCTATGTAGGACCGAAGGGGAACAGCTCGTGTGGTTCTTGATGCACAACGCGGAACAAAAATATAAAAACGAGGCCAGGTTGAAGGTCTGGGGAAAGGCGATCGGCGCAGTTAAGAGTGTGCGTTGTGAGAGTAGAAGAAGAAGAAGAGGAGGAGGAAGAGGAGGAAGAGGAGAAAGAGGAGGAAGAGGAGGAAGGGCAAGTAGATGTGGTACTGTGAAGGATACAAGACAAGGTACACAGCTCGCAGCAGAACATGCAGAGAAGTACAGAGTTCAGTGATGTATGACCGTACAGTACTATACACGGGGGTATGTATTGTATGTATTGTATGTATTGTATGTATCGTATGTATGTATGTATGAATGTATGTATGTATGTATGATGTACAGAACTGTACGGGAGGGTGGAGATCTGCAAATGCCACCAGTATGTTCAACAACTAAATACCAGACGGCTGGTGAAGCTGAAGTATCCAGGCGGCTGGAAAAGCAGATAGCAATGCGATAATGGGAACGGAAAGGAAAACAATGATAGGTAGAGAACCTTGGATATCAGAAATCATTCATGGGGAAAGGTGAGAGAGGAGAGAGGAAGAAGGGAGCTGAGAGCAGAGTCGGTTGAAATGGAGTACTCTTTATGTGGTAGGCAGCTGATACCCACCCCCTTTTACAGGGTAAACCCTCTTGAAATTTGTGCTATTGGGCGGAGCTGGGCTTGCGCTGGGATGATGATGTAAAAACGACAGCGGAGCTGATGTGATGGGGGGTATGATGAAATGCCCCAAGGGACACTGAAGCTGGATCCGCAACGGGAGGCTGCTACTTTGACGCTCCGTGTCTGTTGTTCCCATGTTAAGGAACTCAGCAGTGACGTAACAGGTTTTTGCAAAAACGGTTACTTTCCCGGGATTTATTTTGAAAATAACGAAACGCATCGGCAAGCAGTTTCGATGCTTAGACTCCAGTGTCAAAATTCAAGCAACCTCCCTGTTTGGAAACCTTTTCCATTCCCACCCCCTCTTAAGTAACCCTCGCAAGGTCTTCTTCCTCTCCAGATCATTTTTTTGTCTATGGCCCCACAGGGACACACTCCCACCCACCGGTCCCATTGGCGATTGACCTACCTACCAGATGGCAGTATTACGTCTATTCGAGGGCGGAATAATTCACCGCTGTGTGGATTGCAGTGGAAGGAGGGGGTTGTGCGGGGGATTGGCCAAGGGATGCCGGCATTCGTCGATATTCTTTCTGCGCTCTCTCCCTGCTGATTGGGGAGGAAACCCACCATCTGCCCTTTTCCCTAGTGGCTGGGCTGCAAGAGGAGATCCGTCAAGCCATTTTCAGCCACGAAACGTAATCCAAGATTGCTTGTTTTTTCACGGTTTACGCACACCCCTGCGTTGCTGACGCGGCCCCTTCATGGAAAGAAAAATAAAAGAGGAAAAAAAGTAAAGCAAAAAAAGGAGAAAAAGAAAGAATTCATTGTGCGATTCCTGATATTCTTGGCGTGTTCTTTTCGACGGATTATTTGATTTTCTGTCCCGTTTGGGACGTAACCGGGCGTTAAGTTTGGTTAGTGGCTGGGCTTATGGCTTACTTACATGACTGCAATGTTATGGCGGAAACAAGATCAAGGGAAAATTCACCATCGATTTTTCCTGGAATATATGGCTTCTGATCAACTAAATAAACCTTGTCCTGAAACCTCGTGCACGGCTACTTTTGACTGCCCTGGGAGCGTTTGAACTAGGTCACGTGATTATATATATTTACGGGAACCAGTTTTTCCAGCGGGAAGAAATTGAAAAGATTTCCCCTACTTTCGATTGGGCTCTCATCCTCGTATCCCCCACCTCGGTTCCGCACCCCTTTTATTGTTGCGATGGACTGTCATGTTTTTTTCCTGTCAGCTCGGGGTCGCTGGTGGAGGAGATGTCTGCATATTGCGGACTCCGTCGAGATTAGTTCGCGGCGTATGATCTGTGCATTCCCACTACTCCGACTCCTCAGCCTTTTTGCATATCAATATCGAGCATTGGCTGGTGCTGGGGAACGGGATTCACTGCTACAGTGCTCTGTGCGGAGTACATGCAAACTACACGAGGTTCTTAGGGGAAGGGAGACAAAATTCAGGGGCGGAGACTATTGAAGGTAATCCTCGCAGGAGAGTGTCTGTCAATCCTTGGGTATTATTCTCTGCAAAAACCATGGTGAAGAGACACACACATTGCGCAGGGACATGTTATTATTCCTTTCTTACTCACACAATGTTGAAAAACACAAAAGAATAAAGGAGACAATTCTGAAACAAGCTATTCTTCTTCACAAATGATTATCAGGGATGGTAAATGGGGAATTTTGCAAGGTCATACCTGTTCTGCTGTTGCAGATCATAGACATCCCCTGTGAACGTTGTTCATGGACTTGGTAAAAAAAATGACGGCAACCGAAAATCCAAGAGCAAAATGCTAATTGAGAATATCTGACAGAACATGACAATTTGCCCAACTTTTAGCAATCTCAGGTCGTACAAATGGAGTGAGTACATGAAAATGCGCTGCTCAGGAACTCAAAGACACTGCATATTGATGAGAAAACCCGTGGGAATCAGTAAGCCAGGGAACCAGGAAGATACCCAGAGGGACGACAGGTGTCAGACTCATGATTTCACCTCTTGGCGGTCTTACCCCATGGTGACCAGGAGGTCAGATGTCATATCAGCCATGATCACAACAGCTTCCAAAACAAGGAAGACGATGGGATTTCCATGGCACCTGGGGCTACTCTCTCCCCTGACTCCGGCTTCCGGTCTCTGAAAGAGCACGTTCATTCATAATATCCACAAGACACGCATTTCGACAGTATCTAACCCAATTCGATGTATGAAAATTAAAAAGCAAGGCATCAGACGGAAACTATACCAGCTTCTTCCATGACGCTTGCTCTCTTGCCCATATAACAAGAGGAAAAATCGCGTTCGGGAGAGTGGTGGGACATGCCACTGTCCCACAGTCAGAGGGAATATTCCACAGGTTCCTAGTTCGGCTGTTACACAGCATTTGAAAAAAAAAAGTGCATCTGTCCGGAGTGGAAGCTGTGATGAGGTTTTCGCAACAGGAGCACCAGCTGAAAAATTACTACAGCGCTAGGCTTCAACAGTTTATCAAGCTTGGGAGGTTGGGAACATCCACCACGGCTGTGGCCTTTTTCTCCTCGAGCTGCAGATTCTCCTGGGTGGAAGGATAATAATGGAACAGGGTTAAGTCGCACCAGTGTTGGCGTGTGGACATCGATAGTTCATTATCCATACGAATCTGAAAAAAAGAAAAGAGAGAAAGACACACCCCACACCAACTTCACTGACTCCAGAGCCGTAAAAAGCACCCACAGGGGCCCACAGTCGGACAACAAAAAACCTCCATAACCCCCCCAAAAATAGCTCCAACTAAACGGGCACTTAGAGGACTATCCCCACCCAGCCTGGGAACGTTAAACGAAGCACCCCCCCTCTCCTCGATCCGTCCTTTTCGGTTAGGGGAGTCTTTTTAGGGTTCC